CCGGACTTGGCCGGAAGCTGAATCCGGTCCAGCCCCTTTGAACTCATCTCTTGGTTTTGTGATGTCTTAAAAAGCTTGGAGTGGACTGACCTCACCCTCGCTTCGTCTCGCTTCAGGATTTCACTGTGTGGTAAAATGAATGAAGATGAAGATGATAAAGATGATGTGTGTCGCTTTGGTTTTGAACATGGCCCATGCTTGTGTACCACTGCCAAAGATCCTCCATGCCTGTTTGAACCTGTTAATCGTATATATATGTAAACTGAATGTACTCAAGTGGATTCTATCCTCTCATGTCCAGTTGAAATAGGCAGGGAATAAGGACGTTATAAGAACGCATATGGTGATCAAAAAGAGAAATGGAAGAGAAGGAACCTTGAGGAAGAGAGCTGCAAGAAGAGGAAGATGTGAGGAACTGAGAAGAACACGATGATGATGAGTATGCTGAAGCCCGCTGGTTTCTTTTCTTGTTAATGCAGAAACATAGGGTCTGTTCTTGTCAATGAAGAAGAAGAAGCAAACAACCAGAGAGATAAAGCAAAAAGGAAGGAATTCGAAAGAAGAGAAGCCATCGAAAGAAGGAAGATCTCTATCTTTCTTCTCTGTGCTTATAGCTTCGATCAAAGCTGAGTTGGCCTTTATAGGCTAAATTTCATGGCCGGACGTACAGACTAGTCACAATGTTAGTATATATTCTGATTATAAAATTATTAAAGCCAGTTATTTATAACAGATCAACTAACTCATTTCATTTAGCTGGCCCTGGCCTCCGTATACGGAGGTTTCCAATGGAAAACAGCCAAATAGACCAAGAGAGACAAACAATCCTTTTCTTACAACCAAAGATCTATGAAGCCCCCTATGATTTCTTCTCTATGGGTCTTTGATATCTTGATTGGGATCAACGACCTCCAAAATTTCATTTTTATTAATGCAACAATGTAAATAAGCTCTGCATGACGATACTTCTTATATCTCATGTAGAGTATTAAATGATGGCGACCGAACTTCAATATTCTATATCAACACACCACACACACAAACGCACACTCTTATATGTGTTGAATTGTAAAATGTTTTATGTGAGAAGCAAAGAAAGACACTTGTCTAAGTGAATTAAGATGCTACAATAAGTAGGCAATATATGATGATGTAAACGATAAATGTAATTTGAAATAAACCCTTCACATAAAATATGACATATGAACACAAAATAAATGTAATCTTGTCAGTCACAAGCTATCTATTAACAAAAGACAAAATCTGATTCCAAGTTCAAAAGAATTATATTATTTGAAGGCATAACAAACAATCTAAAAGTCTATCAATATTAGTTATAGAATAAAAGTAATAACCAATAAGATTTAGATTTAGATTATACGCCTATTTTATCAAGTTATCCTTATATGAAAAGTGTATGGACTTTTCAGATGTGTAACATATATAGTATTATGGGTCCTGCAATGGTTCATCGAGGAGTTCAGATTGCAAAACATGAATGACCCATAACTGTTCTGGGAAGAATGTCTCCTCAGCTGATGACATTCCTGTTGTTGTTTTAGATGATAGCCAAGATCCGTTTGCATTTGATGTGGATGAGTTTCGACCCTCCAACTCTAAGCGGGACCTAATGTAAGGAAACACAAACGTATACGAAATGAATCTAACAAACGTGAGCTTTTCAAAAAGAGAATTTGAAGATGGAACTGCTACAAGGTTAATTTCATTTCTAAAGTTATTGTGGATATTTTAAATTTTGGTGTGCTTTTGCAGCGGTTTGCTCGTCTTTAGAAACGAATTGTAGTGACAAATATAGCTGCAATTGTATAGACTAAAAGTAGAAGTGCATGTATACTAGACCAAATTAGATCAGTTAGGGGTGTGTTAATGCGACAAGACAAGATAAGAACAACCACATACATTTTTGCCAACGATAACAATTATATTATCTCTTCAAAAGTATCATATTCAGTTAAAAGTTTACAGTTCAAGTTCATATCTTTGGTAAATACATATATTTTATTTTGTCTTATTGTTAGAAGTAAGATTAATTAACTCTAAATGAAAATTATTATTGTTTTAATGAAAACTAAAGTAAATTCCTTTTTGAGGAAAAATATATTCTTTCATTCAAAATCTTTTTAAAAAAACCAATCTTTACAAATCATGAATCATTTTTTCAATACAATAGATATTATTATTAAAAAACTCAAAAGCTATTATAAATTAACCACTAGACATTAAGTAAATTATACCATTTTACTCACTTAATATCTTATATATATATTTAAAAAATATCATCTGGCTTGTATAAATCATTACACATCCCTTATGAAAGGGGAAAAAAAAGTTGCATGATATTCATATCTTCCATTGAAACTTGACCAAATCAAAAGACTTTGGATGAGTTTAGAATAGTTTATAAACAGGTTTCTAGTTTTCCAATCACAATTTAAGGAATACAAGGTACAAGGTAAGTATAGGAGAATAATTTTGTCTCGCCTTATATGAAACGTGCTTATAAGTAATTTTAAACATGATACCAAATGGGACCTTCATCTGTAACAACAAAAGTCTTCAAAGTCAACTTCACATTCAAATTTGCTTCACAGGGAAGTCATCAAGAATAAAGCCAGTCCTTTGTATCCCATACTTATATGTTTTGCCTTCAAATAATCTCTATAGTAATTCTAAGAATTATTTCAATACGCATGATTAAGTTTAAAAAAACACCTATTTATTACAAACAACTAAGCAAATTAAATTAGAGGTATAATCATCGTATGCCCTCACAAATCTTGTTCTTTATGTTGTTTTACTCTACTTTCATTCTTGTAGTTAGCACCTGTTGCACTTAATGAATGTTTTAGAAATTTAGTCACCATCTCATAAAAGCAATTCTCTCACTCCAACTTAAAAACAGCCAAATAAGCATGTGCATGACTAATTTTGTGGATTTGGTTGGTGAAACAATCTTTTTGAAACAGCATCTTTCCGATTCGATTTGAATAAAGAAAATGGAAAATGCTTCTAAAAAGGGAGTAGGCCAGATTTATTTCCCATTTTCTTTTTAAAAATATTTTGAAGTGAAGAGATGGCCACAAAATATAGATATAGTGGGATAAACTGTATTAGGTTTTTCTCATTACGCTTGTGAATGCATAGGAAGGCTCTTACAAGTGGGCCACTAATGTAGTTCGATATCGAAACATCATACAAGTTACATTATCATAAGGAATTTATATGTTTGCAAATTAAAGTTACTACGAAAAATATTCAATTGATAAATTAAATAATGATATCAGTAAATTGAAATGTTCATATATAGAGGATACATGCACACAAAAATTTGTGCTCTTCACTCAACTAATATGATATTCAACCAACACAATTTATTCAAATTAAATGATTATTTGACATATTTCCTTTGAGTATGGTCTTAAATTCAAGTATTGTTTTTTATTAAAAAAACAAATTGCATTTAGAACAACCACTCATAAAATATGTTTGCATCTACCCATGTAATCTAATAAAATAGCATGTATATCGGTGAGTACAGGTCTTTAGAAGAACCACACTCCAAAAATTAGCCGTTGGAGTTGGAGAATTTAAAAGCCATAAACTTCTAATGTGGGACTCATAATGGTATCTAGATTAGTAGAATCCAATGGAATATCCAAAAAAGATTTATCTATGACAAGGGGGAAGATTATCCGTACATATAATATTTAGGTCTCGAATTATATCATTGCTCCTTGGTCCCAAAAAAAAAATATATTGCTCCACTTGTGAGCCTTTCCGTTACGTCAAACGAAGATAATGGGAAAACCAGTACAGTTTTTTTTTTCCCCGCTGTCTATATTTTTTGTCACAATTCCATTGTTTCACATTTAATGTCTTCCATCGTCCCATTATCAATAAGGATTTGGATACGCTCATCAGTTGAATTATTCAATTGCCCGAATAATAAGAGAAATATAAATAATGGTGGGTTTTAGGTACACATGCATATTGCAATTTATTTATTTATTTCTCCTCTCATTTGAGACTAATTGAAGAAATCCAAATCCGTGCAACTATCACACACACACACACACATATATAGTTACGTATTTTGATTGTCCAAAAGAAGATGCAGAGTTAATGATTGAGCTAGCTCATCTGGGAAAGACTCATTCCGTCCATGTTTGGCTGACGCAGTTTTGAGGCTCAAAAGTGCTTTTCTGGAAACTCAGTTTTGATTCAATGTTTGTTTGGTTAATCATAACAGGTGGTGCAGGGACGAGAGGAGTAATGAGTAATTGGCCACTTGTGCGCGTTTAACAAGAAAAGATGATTAAGAGATTCAGTATTCAAATAATACGAATGTCATTTTTTGTTCATACATAATTCAGAATTAAAACTATAAAAATAAAAAAAAATAAATAAAAAGCAATAAAAAGTTGCTTTAGATTTGAAGCTGCTCTTGAGGTTGATGTGTTTTTATGTTAAAAAAAAAATACTCGAAACATCTCTTTTTATCCTATAGACGCGTATTTTGGATCGCCAAACACCATCCCAAACATGGCCTTATAAACTATATTGCATTTTATGTAAATAAATTAGAGTGGCGTAGTGGAAGCGTGGGTCTTAGAATCAAAACTTAGCTCTGATACAGAGTAGCTTCTAATGTTTTAATTTTTTCCCCCCTCCACCCTTTTCTCGTCTTTGTGTTCAATCTTCTTCTTTACTTCAATCCTTTGTTTTTTTAAAATTTTTCCAGGGTCAAACTAATCTTACTAAATACTACCTCATTTTCTAAAAATAAAATCTAATTTATAGTACAAATTATATTATTTTTAATATAAGAGCTAATTGAATAATTTAAATATTAAAACTACTATTATTATAAGAATATATTTAATAAGCATTATTTTAAGGAGAAAAAAAGATAAATGTGATAACATAATAGATTGAAATTTTATATTTAAAATCAAATAAAAGTTAAATAAACTGTTATATTGAGTAGCGTAAAATATAAAATAAACTGTTATATTGAGTAGCGTAATATAAACTAAGGAGGTAACATTTTTACTTCAGTGCAGAAAACATCATTTGCAACCGCGAGGTCTAAATCCGACCCTTTTACCGCCAACATCATACAATACTTTCACTGTTTTCTGCTGTGTATTTCCAATAATACCCACGTCTCCTCCACGTTTATTCGCTGCAAACGCCAAACAAACTTGTTCTTCGCTCACCACCAAAAAAACTCCGGTCTCGTCCAACTTCACGTTCACCCCACCGGCGAACGACAACGATATCGTCGGAATGTCAACAACGTTGTACCCTTTCAGATTATAGCACGTATCCAGTATTGAAAACGGATCAGCCTTCGGGTACCTCGACATCTGTCTCCGGAACTCGTCTCTCAGGGGACCATACGCCGCCGGAGGGAGCCGGGTGATGACAGTGCCGGAATCAATGATCGTGCCGGAGGAGAACACGGAGGCGGAGATCGCGAGCTTGATACCAGTGACGGTTATGCCGGTGAAGTCAAGGCCGTAAAAGTTGGAAAGCCGGGAGATATTAGACAACGGAGTGAACTTGACGTTCCGGAAAGAAAATCTGCCGCCGAAGGCGATAAAACCAACAGTACTGGGGCTGGAGGGGAGGCAATAGGAAAACCTTTTCTGGTACTTTTCGGCGGTTTGTTCGATGAAGGAGAGGGCGTTGCGACCGAGGCCTAGCAATCCGGCAATGCCCCGGAATAGACCTTTGTTTCTCTGGCCGCAGCCGAAGAGGAAGTCGTCGAAGATGTCGGTAGGAGATATGGTTAGTTTTTCCTTAGCGAAGTAGCCGATGGAGAGGGATCCATCACCATATACAGTACCGTATATACAAGCTCTGGTTGATGCAGAACATGCTGGCTTAACTCCTAGAAAGAAACAAGAGAATATGTATTAAATGAATAAGATATCAGAAAAAGATGAGATGTGAGATATATATATATATATATATATATAAGAGTGTATATACCTGTGGCAGAGACTAGCTGGGAGCACTGAGAAGAAGAACAAGAGATGTTGGAATAAGAAGAAGATTTAGAAGGGTCGAAGATTGGTTCCTTCTGGGGATAGCAAGAACCGGCACAGGGCTTACACTGAGTCCAAGTTAGGTCACTGCCTGTGTCAAAGGCGAGAGACAGATCTCTCTTGGGGGTTCCCAGCCCCACTGTGACGTAGTAGTTGCCGGTTCCAAGAAGGAGGCCGGACTTGGCCGGAAGCTGAGTCCCCTTCGACCCCATCTTCTTCGGAGTCTCTGCTACTTTTGCTTCTTCTTGGTGGAGCTGTGTCTTGGCAAGCTTGGACTGGATTGCCCTCACTCTAGCTTCGTCCTGCTTGAGGATTTCCCGGTGTGGCATAATGAATGAAGAAGAAGATGATGATGAGGGTTGCTTCAGTTTTGAACATGGCCCGTGCTTGTGAACCACTTCCATGGATCCATTCCTCTTTGTACCTGGTCATCTCGTATGTTTCATATTTCGTCAAGTGATATTCCATCAACCTTTCTCAAATTTTAACACAATTACACTGGAAGAAGTTTATCTAGCTATTTAATTAAGTCGACAATTGGTGATGTTTATGAATATTAATTATGTGTACTAAATTTCTCTATAATATAATATGCACTTTCCCATCAAATTCTTTCAAGGTTTTTTTTTTGGGGACAGGATGGAGCATGAATTTTAAACTGGTTGACTGCTAATAAGCTATTTAATAATAGTAAATAACTGTTCTGCATATGGCCAAAAAAGATTGTGAAGTCAAGCCTCCGAAACCGTATCAGTTATATATATACAGATATATATGTATGTATATATCATTTTCCCAGGAGACTATATATATAAATTGTGAAGACCCATGCAGAGTATTGTTATTATAGAAATCAAACGCCAAGCATGTAAATAAATTGATATCAATTAAAAATTCATGCAATGAAAACAGAGAGAAATGGAAGATAGAAAGAACCTAGAGGAGGAAAGCTGCAAGAGGAAGAAGGGATGAGAGAGCTCAGAGGAACACGATCATGAGTATGTTGAAGCTCACTGCCTTCTTCTCTTGTTGCATAAACAAAGCTTTTGCTTTTAGAAAAGGAGAAGAAGAAGCAAACCAGCGAAAGAGCAGAAAAGAGGAAGGGATTGGAAGAAGAAGAAGAAGACGCCATAGAAAAAAAGAAGAGAAAGGTTAATTTCTTTGTGATTCAGGAGGCCACACAGGATACAAATCTTACTAGGGATACTTGGCTTTTATATAGAGGATAAATTTCATGACTGATCTTAATAATATTTATACTACTTCTGGTTCTTAATATAAGACCTTATTTGACTTCTATTTTAGTTCAAAATATAAAACCCCAATCCACTTTGTCTCTCGTATTTATATTTTTTTTTTCAAGACAGTCCTTCTAATTGTTGTAGTTTTAGCCAACATACTTGATTAATAAGGATATTTTAGGAAAGACAACACCTATTTATTACAAATAACTAACTTAACTTATTTTCTTAATCTCCTCAAATTAGTCAACTAGCTCTTATGATTAAGACTGGAGATAGTATTAAATTAGATGAGTCATACGTGGATTGCATAAATAGAATATATACACATGACTATATGAGAAACAAGTTGTACAGTTATACTATTTAACAGTATAATTTGTATACACTTAAATTGTTGTTGATGTTGATGTATTAGCGTATAAAGAGGGGTGTTCATTCCAATTAAAAATTAACATTATCAATAAGGTCACTATACATAATGGTCATCTTTTCTCACTTCAAACGCACTCAGTACCAACTCCTTAATTTGTTAAGATTGATGATATACTTTATACATAAATATATATATGTATGTATATAAATTTCAACGAGTTAAGTCTTGAGAGTTTGCTAAGAATGTGGCATGTCTTTAAACTCAATTAAAAAGTGCTTATAAATGTAATTATAAATTATTCACCAACAAAATTTTCACATTGATAGGAGAATTTAAATCCATAATGTCCTGAATTATAGGTTAAATTTTAACAAACTAGATAACTTTGTTTGCTTTTTTCCTTCATTTCTTGCAGTTCTACTTCGTGATCATAGGAATGATGTGTTTAAATTGCTTAAGATTTTTTGCGAAATAAGTTAGAGATATTGATGTATTTAATTCTTAATAATTATTATTAATATAATCCTCTATGTGTGATAAGATGAATTCCCATATTGTTGGTGAAATGGACGCGGAAAAAATTTATGAGGTGCAAATTATAGTGCTCCACTTGACAGCCTTCTTCCCTACTATGTTCACTAATATAATGCGAAAGAATCTCCCACCACTACTCAAAATTTCCTACACATAATGGCCCACTCGTGAGTCTTCGTATGAGTTGAGGAGTAGATTGGAAAAACCAAGCCAATTAATTTGTCGCACTATCTAAATTTCCTCTCTTTAATCATCAATTTCAGTTAACGGATAGGTCGTTAGTTCTATTTCCTTTCGTCTTTTCCTTCCCCTTCCACCGATGATAATGAATTTTCGGATATAAGCTAAAATTAACATGTTCCTTTTTAATTACTCCTCTGGTCTTATTTATAAAACAGAGAGAGAAGATATTTTTTGGTCATATTTATAAAGTAGTGAGAGAAATTTTTCCTATAAGTATATAATTTTACTCTTCATTTATTATTGTGTTGACTTTATTTACATAAGATATAATCTATATTAAATAGAAATAAAATTAAAAAATTGTTGAATTTTAAAAAGAGTTAATGAAATTAAAAAAAATTTTAGTTTGTGTGAAAAAATTAGAAATAACTTATAAATAAGACTAAAGAAGTATCTCATTGCAGATGCACATTTCTCTCAATTGAAACAATTGAATTGCTCAAATGATAAGAGAGTAAAAAGAAAGCTGGAAACCAACATCACCCCATGAAATATCTATCTACCTTTATTCATGAGACTCTCAAAATATATAAAAGCATTTTACATTTTGTTTCACATAAATGGTAAATCATTGGTAAATCATTCAAGTATATATATTAGCAATTCCAAATCTATCGCATCCTTATTAATAATTACCACTTTCTTCAGACCACTCTTAGGATCCCTAATACCACATATTAATATTCCAACACTCCATTTGTGAGAAGCAACAATTACTTGCCTTTTGGCAAACATAAATGTTTTTAGTATCCTATAAACGAAATTGCAGACACTACACACACACAACAACAACACATTTAAACAAGACTTGTCTGTGAAAAAATCAATAGATCAAAGTGAATATATAAGTAGACATATAAGCATGCAGAATAATCCTTCCTCATGATGATGCTTACATCCCTATTTATAATTTAAATCTATTAATTTTTTTAAGATCAAATCTACTAATTATATATTTTTAAAAAATATCATCTGGCTTGTATAAATCATTACACATCCCTTATGAAAGGGGGAAAAAAAAGTTGCATGATATTCATATCTTCCATTGAAACTTGACCAAACCAAAAGATTTTGGATAAGTTTAGAATAATTTATAAACAGTTTTCTAGTTTTCCAATCACAATTTAAGGAATACAAGGTACAAGGTAAGTATAGGAGAATAATTTTGTCTCGCCTTATATGAAACGTGCTTATAAGTAATTTTAAACATGATACCAAATGGGACCTTCATCTGTAACGACAAAAGTCTTCAAAGTCAACTTCACAATCAAATTTGCTTCACAGGGAAGTCATCAAGAATAAAGCCAGTCCTTTGTATCCCATACTTATATGTTTTGCCTTCAAATAATCTCTATAGTAATTCTAAGAATTATTTCAATACGCATGATTAAGTTTAAAAAAACACCTATTTATTACAAACAACTAAACAAATTAAATTAGAGGTATAATCATCGTATGCCCTCACAAATCTTGTTCTTTATGTTGTTTTACTCTACTTTCATTCTTGTAGTTAGCACCTGTTGCACTTAATGAATGTTTTAGAAATTTAGTCACCATCTCATAAAAGCAATTCTCTCACTCCAACTTAAAAACAGCCAAATAAGCATGTGCATGACTAATTTTGTGGATTTGGTTGGTGAAACAATCCTTTTGAAACAGCATCTTTCCGATTCGATTTGAATAAAGAAAATGGAAAATGCATCTAAAAAGGGAGTAGGCCAGATTTATTTCCCATTTTCTTTTTAAAAAATATTTTGAAGTAAAGAGATGGCCACAAAAATATAGATATAGTGGGATAAACTGTATTAGGTTTTCTCATTACGCTTGTGAATGCATAGGAAGGCTCTTACAAGTGGGCCACTAATATAGTTCGATATCGAAACATCATACAAGTTACATTATCATAAGGAATTTATATGTTTGCAAATTAATGTTACTACGAAAAATATTCAAATGATAAATTAAATAATGATATCAGTAAATTGAAATGTTCATATATAGAGGATACATGCACACAAAAATTTGTGCTCTTCACTCAACTAATATGATATTCAACCAACACAATTTATTCAAATTAAATGATTATTTGACATTTTCCTTTGAGTATGGTCTTAAATTCAGGTATTGTTTTTTATTAAGAAAACAAATTGCATTTAGAACAACCACTCATAAAATATGTCCGCATCTACCCATATAATCTAATAAAATAGCATGTGTATCGGTGAGTACAGGTCTTTAGAAGAACCACACTCCAAAAATTAGCCGTTGGAGTTGGAGAATTTAAAAGCCATATACTTCTAATGTGGGACTCATAATGGTATCTAGATTAGTAGAATCCAATGGAATATCCAAAAATGATTTATCTATGACAAGGGGGAAGATTATTCGTACATATAATATTTAGGTCTCGAATTATATCATTGCTCCTTGGTCCAAAAAAAAAAATTATATTGCTCCACTTGTGAGCCTTCCCGTACGTCAAACGAAGATAATGGGAAAACCAGAACAATTCTTTTCCCACTGTCTATATTTTTTGTCACACATTGGTTCACATTTAATTTCTTCCATCGTCCCACTATTAATAAGGATGTGGGTACGCTCATCAGTTGAATTATTCAATTGCCGAATAATAAGAGAAATATAAATAATGGTGGGTTTTAGGTACACGTGCATATTCCAATTTATTTATTTATTTCTCTTCTCATTTGAGACTAATTGAAGAAATCCAAATCCGCGCAACTATCACGCGCGCGCGCGCGCGCGCGTGTGTGTAGGGTTACGTATTTTGACTGTACAAAAGAAGATGCGGAGTTAATGATTGAACTAGCTTATCTGGGAAAGACTCATTCCGTCCATGTTTGGCTGACACAGTTTTGAGGCTCAAAACTGCTTTTCTGGAAACCCAGTTTTGATTCAATGTTTGTTTGGTTAATCATAACAGGTGGCGAGGGGACGAGAGGAGTAATGAGTAATTGGCCCCTTGTGCGCGTTTAACAAGAAAAGATGATTAAGAGATTCAGTATCCAAATAATACGAATGTCATTTTTTGTTCATACATAATTCAGAATCAAAACTATAAAAATAAAAAAAGCAATAAAAAGTTGCTTTAGATTTGAAGCTGCTCTTGAGGTTGATGTGTTTTTATGGAAACAAAAAAAAAAAGGTGCTCGAAACATCTCCTTTTTGTTTGACGCTCATTTTTGTCTATGGACGTGCATTTTGGATTGCCAATTGCAAACACCATCGCACACATAGCCTTATAAACTATATTGCATTCCTTCCAAATAAATCGGGGTGGGGCAGCGGAAGCATGGTGAATCTATAATTGACAGGTCCCAGTATCAAATAGCTTCTAATGCTTTAATTTTTTTTTTCCCTCCACCCTTTTCTCGTCTTTGTGTTCAATCTTCTTCTTTACTTCGATCCTTTTTTTTTCCCAGGTCAAACGAATCTTACTAAATACTACCTCATTTTCTAAAAATAAAATCTAATTTATAGTACAAATTATATTATTCTTAATATAAGAACTAATTGAATAATTTAAGCATTAGAACTACCATTATTATGAAAATAAAATATTGAAATTTTATATTTAAAATTAAACAAAAATCAAATAAACTCTTATATTGAGTAGCAACAGTAATAGTCCTCTTATCCTTAATATAAGACCCATTTAACTAATTTGATTAGATTAAAAAAAGTTAGACAAGTTAGTTAATTATAAGAAATATGACACGTTTTTCTTAAAACACCATAATTATCTTTCTTAATACCCCCTCTCCTTCTTTTATCTAATTATGGTTGAGAGAGTATCTATAGGGGTAATTTAGAGAAAATTAATAAATATAAGAAATAGACTTTATATTTAAAATCAAAATTAACTTAACAATTGAGTCTTATATTAAAGACAGGAAGGGAATAAACTAAGGAGGTAACATTTTTACTTCAGTGCAGAAAACATCATTTGCAACCGCGAGGTCTAAATCCAACCCTTTTACCACCAACATCGTACACTACTTCCACTGTTTTCTGCTGTGTATTTCCAATAATACCCACGTCTCCTCCATCTGCATTCGCTACAAACGCCAAACAGACCTGTTCTACGCTCACCACAAAAAAAACTCCGGTTACGTCCAACTTCACGTTCACCCCACCGGCGAACGACAACGATATCGTCGGAATGTAAACAACTACGTACCCCTTCAGATTATAGCACGTCTCCAGTATTGAAAACGGATCAGCCTTCGGGTACCTCGACATCTGTCTCCGGAACTCGTCTCTCAGGGGACCATACGCCGCCGGAGGGGGCCGGGTGATGACAGGACCGGAATCAATGATCGTGCCGGAGGCGAACACGGAGGGGGAGATCGCGAGATTGATACCAGCGACGGTTATTCCGGTGAAGTCAAGGCCGTAAAAGTTGGAAACCCGGAAGAGAGTAGACAGCGAAGTGAACTTGACGTTCCGGAAAGCAAATCTCCCGCCGAAGGCAATAAAACCAACAGTACTGGGGCTGGATGGGAGGCAATAGGAAAACCTTTTCTGGTACTTTTCGGCGGTTTGTTCGACGAAGGAGAGGGCGTTGCGACCGAGGCCTAGCAATCCGGCAATGCCCCGGAATAGACCTTTGTTTCTCTGGCCGCAGCCGAAGAGGAAGTTGTCGAAGACGTCGGTAGGAGATACGGTTAATTTTTCCTTAGCGAAGTAGCCGATGGAGAGGGATCCATCAACATATCCAATACCGTATATATATACAAGCTCTGGTTGATGCAGAACATGCTGGCTTAACTCCTAGAAAGATACAAGAGAATATGTATTAAATGAATAAGAGATCAGAAAAAGATGAGATGTTGAGATATATATATATATATATATATATAAGAGTGTATATACCTGTGGCAGAGACTAGCTGGGAGCACTGAGAAGAAGAACAAGAGATGTTGGAATAAGAAGAAGATTTAGAAGGGTCGAAGATTGGTTCCTTCTGGGGATAGCAAGAACCGGCACAGGGCTTACACTGAGTCCAAGTTAGGTCACTGCCTGTGTCAAAGGCGAGAGACAGATCACTCTTGGGGGTTCCCAGCCCCACCGTGACGTAGTAGTTGCCGGTTCCAAGAAGGAGGCCGGACTTGGCCGGAAGCCGAGTCCCTTCTGACCCCATCTTCGAAGTCTCTGCTACTTTTGCTTCTTCTTGGCGGAGCTGTGTCTTGGAAAGCTTGGACTGGATTGCCCTCACTCTGGCTTCGTCCTGCTTGAGGATTTCCCTGTGTGGCATAATGAATGAAGAAGAAGATGATGAGGAGGAGGAGGAGGAGGGTTGCTTCAGTTTTGAGCATGGCCCGTGCTTGTGAACCACTTCCATGGATCCATTCCTCTTTGTACCTGTTCATCTCGTATGTTTCGTATTTCGTTAAATGATATTCCATCAACCTTTCTCAAATTTTAACTCAATTACACTGGAAGAAGTTTATCTATTTAATTAAGTCGACAATTGGTGGTGTTTATGAAAATTAGTTATGTATAATAGATTTCTCTATAATATAATATGCACTTTCCCATCAAATTCTTTCAGGGTTTTTTTGGGGCCAGAGTGGAGCATGAATTCTAAACTTGTCAACTGCTAATAAACTATTTAATACTACCTTCGGTCCTTAATATAAGATCCTATTTGACTTTTATTTTGGTCCTAAATATAAGACCCAATCATTTTTGTCTCTCATATTTATACATTTTTTTCCAAAGTAGCCCTTCTAACAATAATAGTTCTAGTCAATACACTTGATTAGCAAACATATTTTAGGAAAGACAACACCTATTTAGGACAAATAACTAACTCAACTTACTTCTTTAATCTTCTCAAATTATTCAACTGGCTCTTATAATTAGGACTAGAGGTAGTAATAGTAAATAACTGTTGTGCATATTCCCAAAAAAGATTGTGAAGTCAAGCCTATGAAACCGTATCAGTTACACACACACACACACACACATATATATATATATCATTTTCCCAGGAGACTATGTATATAAATTGTGCAGACCCATGCAGAGTATTGTTATTATAGAAATCAAACGCCAAGCATGTAAATAAATTGATATCAATTAAAAATTCATGCAATGAAAACAGAGAGAAGTGGAAGATAGAAAGAACCTAGAGGAGGAAAGCTGCAAGAGGAAGAAGGGATGAGAGAGATGAGAGGAACACGATCATGAGTATGTTGAAGCTCACTGCCTTCTTCTCTTGTTACATAAACAAAGCTTTTGCTTTTAGAAAAGGAGAAGAAGAAGCAAACCAGAGAAAGAGCAGAAAAGAGGAAGGGATTGGAGGAAGAAGAAGAAGACGCCATAGAAAGAAAGACGAGAATGGTTAATTTCTTTGTGATTCAGGAGGCCACACAGGATACAAATCTTACTCGGAATACTTGGCTATTATATAGAGGACAAATTTCATGACTTTTCTTAGTGGTATTTATATTAAATTAGATGAGTCACACGTGGATTGCAGAAATTAAGTATACATATGACTGTATGAGAAATAAGTTGTACATTTATACCATTTAACAGTATAATTTGTATAGACTTAGATTGTTGTTGATGTTGATCTGTTAGCGTATAAAGAGGGGTGTTCATTCCAATTAAAAATCAACATTGTCAATAAGGTCACTATACATAATGGTCATCTTTTCACACTTCTTCAAACACACTCAGCACCAACAAATCCTTAATTTGTGAAGACTGATGATATACTTTATATCTAAATATATGTGTGTATATACATAAATTTAAACGAGTTAAGTCTTGAGAATTTGCTAAGAATGCGGCATGTCTTTAAACTCAATTAAATTAAAAAGCACTTATAAATATGCTTATAAATTATCCGCCAACAAAATTTTCACGTTGATAGGAGAATTTAAATCCATAATCTCATGAATCATAGGTTAAATTTTACAAACTAGATAACTTTGTTTGCTTTTTTCCTTTATTTCTTGTAGTTCTGCTTCGTGATCATAGGAATAATGTGTTTAAATTGCTTAAGATTTTTTGCGAAATAAGTTACAGATATTGATGTTTTTAATTCTTAATAATTATTATTAATATAGTCCTCTATGTGTGTGATAAGATGAGCTCCTATATTGTTGGTGGAATGGACGCGGAAAAAATTAATGAGGTGCAAATTATAGTGCTCCACTTGAGAGCCTTCTTCCCTATTATGTTCACTAATATAATGGGAAAGAATCTCCCACCACTGATCAAAATTTCCTATACATAATGGCCCACTCGTGAGTCTTCGCCGTATGAGTTGACGAGTAGATATTGGAAAAACCAAGCCAATTAATTTGTCGCACTATCTAAATTTCCCCTCTTTAATCATCAATTTCAGTTAACGGATAGGTCGTTAGTTCTATTTCCTTTCGTCTTTTCCTTCCCCTTCCACCGATGATAATGAATTTTCGGATATAAGCTAAAATTAACATGTTCCTTTTTAATTACTTCCCTGGTCCTATTTATAGAACAGAAAGAAAAGATTTTTTAGTTCTATTTATAAGGCATTGAGAGAAATTTTTTTCTATAAATATACAATTTTACTTTTCATTTACTATTGTGTTAACTTTATTTACATAAGATATATTATATATTAAATAGAAATAAAATTAAAAAATTATTGAATTTTAAAAAGAGTTAATGAAATTTAAATTTTTTTTTAGTTTATGTAAAACAGTTAAAATAACTTATAAATAATATCAGAGAAATATCTCGTTGCACATGCACATCTCTCTCAATTGAATATATAGTTGAATTGCTCAAATGATAGGAGAGTAAAAAGAAAGCTGGAAACCAACATCACCCCATGAAATACCTATCAAACTTTATTCATGAGACTCTTAAAATATATAAAAGCATTTTACATTTTGTTTCACATAAATGGTAAATCATTGGTAAATCATTCAAGTATATATATTAACAATTCCAAATCTATCACATCCTTATTAATAATTACCACTTTCTTCAGACCACTCTTAGGATCCCCAATACCACATGTTAATATTCCAACACTCCATTTGTGAGAAGCAACAATTACTTGCCTTTTGGCAAACATAAATGTTTTTAGTATCCTATAAACGAAATTGCGGACACTACATATATATATATATATATAACAACATAATTTAAAAAAGACTTGTCTGTGAAAAAATCAATAGATCAAAGTGAATATATAAATAGACATATAAGCACGCAGAATAATCCTTCCTCATGATGATGCTTACACCCCTATTTATAATTTAGAATCAATCTATTAATTTTTTTTAAGATCAAATCTACTAATTAAATATATTTTTAATTAATTATTTAGATGCAACCACCTGGTCGGAAGCCAATCTTACCAGCCCCAACATCGTAGACCACCTCCAGTGTTTTCTGTTGGACATTTCCCAGAATGGTCACACTGCTTGAATCTTTATTCGGAGAAAACGCCAAACACACCTGCGTTTCCTTCACCCCGTATAGGATCCCTGTTGCGTCCAACTCCACGTTCACCCCACCGCCAAACGACAATGTTATCTTCGGAACGACAAAGGTTTTGTATTTACTAAGATCGTAACACGTGTCCAGGATCGACACCGGATCTGCCTTTGGGTACTTGGACATGGCTTTCCTGAACGCGTCTCTCAGGGGACCGTACGCCGCCGGGGGGAGCCGCGTGATGACGGTGCCGGAGTCGATGATGGTGCCGGGGGAGAACGTAGAGGCGGCGATCGGGAGTTTGACGCCGGCGAGGGTGATTCCTGTGAAGTCGAGGCCGTAGAAGGACGAGCCCCGGGAAATGGAAGAGAGTGGGGTGAACTTGACGTTGCCGGAGGAGTGTCCGCCACCGAAGGAGAGGTAGCCGACGGTGCTGGATCTGGAGGGGATGCAATAGGAGAAGATCTTGTTGTACTTCTGCGCGGTTTGTTCGACGAAGGAGATGGGATTGCGGCCGAGGCCAAGGAGCCCGGCGGTGCTGCCGAAGAGACCCTCGTTGTTCTGGCCGCAGCCGAAGAGGAAGTTATCGACGACGTCGGTCGGAGATATGGTCACTGTTTCCTTAGCGAAGTAGCCAACAGAGAAGGACGAGTCACCGTATTGAATACCGTATATGCAAGCTCCCGTCGACTTAGAACATCCCGGATCAGTCCCTGCAGAATCATCCATTCAATGAATAAGAGCGAAACACATAAAATTAATGTCCATGACTAGACTATATGTGTGTGTGTGTGCGTGTATATATAAGTATACCAGTGGCAGCAGAAAGCTGGGAACACTGGGAAGAAGAACAGGAGATGTTGGAGTAAGAAGAAGATTGGGAAGGATCGAAGATGGGTTCTTTCTGGGAATAGCAAGAGCGAGCACAGGGTTTGCACTGGGTCCAGGTGAGGTCACTGCCGGTGTCGAATATGAGAGAGAGTTCTCTCCTGGGCCTTCCAAGCCCCACCGTGACGAAGTAGTTTCCGGTGCCGAGAAGGCTGCCGGACTTCGCCGGAAGCTTTGCCTGGCCCATCCCCTCGTAGCTCTTAGCAGCTTCTTGTGCCTCATCATGGTGGTTGTTTATTTTGGAAAGCTTGGCATGGATTGATCTCACCCTGGCTTGGTCGTGCTTGAGGATTTCACTGTGTGGAATAGTGAACGAAGAAGATGAAGTGTGACATGGGCCGTGCCTGTGTACCACTTGTAATGATCCCTTTCGCATCCGACCTGTTCATCGTTAATCAAGTATTAATTCAATTCCTTAAATGTTAGGCTGAAAATGAAAGATTAATATTACCTCTCATTCTAAATATTAGAGCTAATTTACTAATTCAAATATATTAAAAAGATAGGTTAAGTTAGTTATTTATAATAATAGGTGTTCTCTTTCCTAAAATATCCTTACTAATCAAGTGTATTGGCTATAACTACCGTTATTAGATGGACTAACTCGAAAAAAAATACATAAATATGAGAGATAAAGTGAATTAAAGTCTTATATTTATGATCAAAATTAAAGTCAAATAAAGTCTTATATTATAAGTAATATTATAAGTAAGATGTAGCACATTCAAAAGTACCAAGAAAACTGGATTCAATAAAACTATATTTGTCATAAAGTAGGTAAAAACAGAAAAACAAAAACAAAAGAAACTGTTTGTCAATTTTCTTTATACTACATGTACATGCTAATAATTATCAATATCAATATAAAAATAAAACATAAAACATCCAAAAAAATATCTGTATATAATATGCAAAAAATGGCTTTTATTTTGAAGAACACGCCCTAAATTATAACGTAAGGAGTTAAATCAATGATGAGCATATATAGGATGCCCAGCATTAACTAATTTGAATTGTTCAAATTAAATTAGAATGATAAAAATTTATTTTATTTTTATTCTTGTATTTTTGAAATGCTTCTTTATTTTGATAGATGAAAATTTTGAAATAAAAATAAATTTATTAATCTATTTTAAAATAGAATTAATTTATTTATATCTTATTTTAACTTAAAAAGATAAAATAAATACCATAATGTAAATGCATGATGTGAGAGAATATTAAGAGGCAAATTAAATTTGTGGTAATGTTGTCACATTAAAAAAGATAAATATAGCAAAAGTAATTGCAAATGAGATAATCAAATTGTGCACTTCGCCCAACCAGTTGAAGTGGGTAGGGGTTCTAATAATTTCAGTTAGGTACAAAAGCAATATTATTATCTTATTATGAGCTAGTTGACTAATTTGAGTAGATTAAGAAAGCTAGTTAAGTTAGTTATTTATAATAAATAGGTATTGTCTTTCCTAAGATATCCTTACTAATCAAATATATTTGCTAAAGCTATTATAATTACAAGAACTACATTAAAAAATGAATAGATATAATAGATAAATTGATTGGGTCTCTATTTAGGACCAAAATAAAAGTCAAACAAAGTCTTATATTAAGAAACAGAGGTAGTATATTATATTTATAATTTATTTATATTACAAGCGCATGTTAAAATTAATAAATAAGTGTTGTGTGTTTAATTAATTACCTAACAATGAGCACTAAACCAAGTTGGTAAAGGTACTTAAGCACAAATTATATACCAACCCGTAACAATCTTCTATATATATAATCATGTGGGGCACATCAAAAGAGAAATTAATTAATTAGCAATCAACCCTAAGTAGTTACAAAAATCTTCATCTTTTTGTTGCCTTTTTTGTGGAAAATCACTGGTGGATGGCGATGGTCCTTATAGTAATAATAATGATGTAGAACCGAAAGCTACCGACCACCTAATTTTCCAAGACTAGTTATTGTCAACAGTTTTAAAAGCTCATTATGCAATGATGACTACGATACAATTCTTAAACTAACTTTTTTCAGTAATACATGCTAATTAATTAATCAATTATCTGAAATTGTTAATTAATAATTCAACCCCTTCGTATAATTCCAAGATCGTGTAAAACATTATTAAAACACAAATATGAAAAATCAAGTGAAAATATGATTAAAAACTTTAATTCACTTAATTTTTTTGTTTCCCAAATTATTTGAATTGCATAAAGGAAGGGAAATTTCCGTGATGCTATGATCAGCCTCTTGAGTCAATAATAATTATTAATCATAATTGACCTATCAAGTCAGCCTTTTAACTTCGTCAACACCATGAAGAAAATAGGAAACTTTCAACTTTCGGAAAGGAAAATAAATAAACTAAAATATAATTAAAGAACATATGTATGTTAAAATTAATTCAAGGAGAAACAAATAATGAAGCAAGTGAAAATGAATTTTATTTTGTTTCGTAATGGATCAGTGAATTAATAAGGGATGGAATGAATATGTGAATGATAGGTGATGCTACTTTATCTGTCTATCTATAATATGTGGTGGTGGGTACCATGTGTGAATATTCTATCTACGTGACCTAAAACTGTTATATTATACAAATAATATTTGAGAAAAGGACCTCAGAGGACCATTTATATAATTACAAATATTCTCTGGACGAACCCAAAAAAAAAAGATACATTAAAAAAAAAACTACCCAGCTTTGTAGAAATTTTTAAAAAAAAAAGATCATGTAACTTAAATCCTCTTTGCTTATAAAAATGACAATTAATGAGAAGTGCTAGTTGTCCTAATGCCACTAGTATTCGTTATATTTGGATGAGTTTCTGAATTTAAACATCGTATTAATATATTTGTACGTGGGTGTGTCTAATTGTATTATATTAAAATAAAAATAAGGACCAACAATAATAGTATAAACTGTTAAAATTAAATAAGAAACATTGAGGAAATATTTGTATGTGAAAACAAAACAAAAAAGTAGGGTCCATCCAAAATTCCAAAATTTCTCTCCAGACAAAACAAGAGATCACGGGCTCTCCAAGGTTATTTATTGTCTATAATATGCTGCTAACCAGTTATTTTAAATAGAAAAAAATTAATCATTTATTTTCCGTAGTTTTAACTCAACTAAAACTCTTTCTTAAATTTTGACTCGACTCAATTTAGTATTTATAATAATTTTAATTTATTAAAATAGCAGTTCCTATACCATATATACATTTTTTAGCTTAGAAATTATAAAAATAATTAAAATTATAGGGTGATATTAACTCAGAATTATAATCCATAACTCGCCCTTTCGCACAAACTCTGGAAACACGCCTCTCATAGAACTTGATTTCATAACCAAAACATAATAAATATTAATTAATAGATAAATAATCCCAATGATTACTTCCACTACAAGCCTTTTCAGCCAGTTGGGTTTGAAATGAAAAGCTGAGAAACCATACATCATCACTAATCAGGGGCTGTTTGGTTATAACCAAACCATGGTCTGGAGAATAGCTTCTGGAGAATAGATTCTGGGGAGAATAGATTTTTTAAAGAATAGATTTTGTGAAAAACTGATTCTGAGAAGTGAGAGTGTTTGGATAGTTGTTACCAGAAGCACTTTTTACATGTACAAATTACTAAAAAAAACATAAGTTAATATGATAATTACAAAAAATATATATTTTAATTTGAAGGAATAAAATTGTTAATAATATATTTTTTATTAACATAATTAATAATACATAAGATAATATAATTAATAAATAATTAATATGTATATATATTTATAAGATATAAGATTAAATATATTTATAAAAAAATATGTTTATAAAAAAAACAACAAGATACATATCCTATAGGCTCTCACACTCCCTTTTTTTTTCCAAAAACAAAAAATTTTGACTTTTCCCAAAACCATAGTTTGGTTTTTTTAAGGGTGTTTGGGAGATTTTTTCCCAAACCATGGTTTGGATTGGAACCCAAACACCCCCTCATTCTAACTCAACAAGATTATAATTAAACTGTGAAATGAAAACTACTCATATACGTGCAGAGAGAATGCTATTAATTAATTATAACTAAGCAATCAAATCAACACCATGCATGATGTCATTAATTAAACAATCCTTCTTTAGAGAGAGAGGGGGTAGAGAGAGAACCTGGAGGAGGAGAGGTGCAGGAGGAAGAAGGAAGGAGAGAGGTGAGAGAAACATGATGATGATGAGTATGTTGAAGCTCACTTTGTTCTTCTCTTGTTGCAGAGACAAAGCTTTTGTCCTCAGAAAAGAAGAAGAAGAAAAACCAGCCAAAGAAAAACACAGAGATGAGAGGATTAGAAGAAGAAGAAGAAGCCATAGAAAGAAAGAGAAAAGAAGAGCTGAGTTTCTTTTTGTGAATGAGGAGGCCTCACAGTGTACACTCTGCCCCAATGGTTTGGCCTTTATAGGCTCAATTTCAAGGTTGGTCATAATAAGATAATTATTAAATTACTAGAAAAGTGTCAAATACATTGCACTGTATATATATATATATATATAATAGAAATATGAGGTACCATTCAATTTATAATTAAATAATTAATTCAAATACTATCCACTTATGTTCGTGTTTGAGCAGGAAGAACTCTTATCTTTAGAATAACTACTTTAAAATAATTCAATTCATAAGCCTTACATATATGTACTCTTAATGTTCAAAAAATATATGAACTCACCTGTTATAAATTTTATATTTAATTTTAGTTATGTAGAAAATGATTAAGTATTGATCATATTACACGTCACGTGCTGTAAGAGACAAACTTGGCCTTGGATCCTCTGTGGACACAATCCGGGGGTGCTATCAGGTCTTCCAATAGAAAACAGCCAAACAGACCAACTAGGGTCTCACAACCTTCTTCTTTTTCCTTAACAAACATTACAATATCCCAACACCAACCAATCGTTTTTTATCTGGGCCATTTGAGATATTTTTATCGGGATAAATCTCAATGACTTTCCAGATTGACTTCAATATATTTATATATATTTATTTATATACGGTCGTTGGTTTTTCCTTTGTTTGGGTTAAGATATTGTGTGTGTGTGTGTGTTTTTTTGTCTCCTACTTGTTTTGTAGTTTTAGTTATTCCTTGTTCAGGCTCTAAGCCTTCTCTTGTATACAAAAAAAAAAACTTAAATTAAAAATTTGAATGGAAATTCAATGAGTAACCACAAAAATTTAGTGAGTGTAAAATTTGATTGGAATGAGGAAGAGTTCAGATATACAATGAAGGAAATATTTTTTCTTAAAAGTTTTACATGTTTTTTGTAAATATAGGATTTAATCATTTTTATTTATTTTTATCATTGTTTTCAACCGATTTTTTTTTTTTTTACTTTTCATTCCGTCTCATGTTTTAATATTAAAGGGTTGGCGAAGTTTTGGGAAAATTGTAGGAAAGTAATAAAATTTGATAATTTTTTTATATGATTTGTTTGGAATAAACCTCATTGATGGTACTTTTTATCTGTTTTGTTAATTAAGAACACTTAGTTGTTAGGTTGATTAATTTATTAAATCAATTTTTTTAATATATGTGTAATCAATAAGAAGAACTTACCAAATAAATTATAAATTTAAGAGATTAAATAAATTGAGGTATTACATTTAGAATGAAAACAAATCTCTCTATTACACCCTATATTGAGAAACGGAAAAAGCATATATGTATAACTTGATTTAGAAGAGAAGGATCGGAATTTTTTTTTTCTTTCCTTTTAAATTGTGGTAGGGAGGGGATTAGAATTAGATTCATTTAAAAAAAGGGACCAAACTTTTATGATTCCCTTATGAGATATATCTAGATAACAAAAAACATGGCATTTTATGGAAATAAACCAATTTTTATTTTTATAAGTTTAGTGGGACTCGCATGATGTCATGAATGGCACGTTTAATTAGAACTTTTCAACTCTTTGTGGCACATTCTCATTGGGTTCCTACACACCATCCACTGATGTTTTATATATACTTATAAATGATATAGGGCCTAGGGGCATGGCAATCCGAATTTTCAATTCTTTTAGGATCATACAAAAATTAAAATTTATGTTATATTTTATATATATAAAATTTTTTTTTTAAAAAAAAAGAGTCACATAGTGATCCGCTCGTGAGTGTTCCTATACTTTCACGAGTACTGTGGGAAAACCAAAACAATTTGTCTTATTATCTAAATTTCCTGTCTTCAATCATCGATTCCAATGGACGCTTCAACTGCATTCACTTTTTTTTTTTCCACATGGTATGTATTGACAATGCTTTACTGGGATTTCTTATTGGGAAAAAAATGATTAAAATGTAATTTATTGAGTATTGGTAAAAAAAAATCTCACATTAAATATGGTTCAATTAAAAGGGCTGTTTCTGTCAAATTTCTTGTAAATTCTTAATTTCATCTTTTGCCAAGAAAAACTGAACTGAAATTTTATCTTTTGGCTCCCATTAAAAATTAAATCTCATATGTGAGATTTAAATGAAATAGTCCCCAATTAAAAATAAAAAGGCCTATTGATGTAATGGTTGAAAGCTTTACTTTACAAAGTAACGTAAAAAATTAGTTAATTATATGCTTTTTGTTATCTAATAAGAATAATATCCAGATGAATATTTTGAATGGGTAAACTTTCTTGGGTGATCATTAACTAATATAAAATGTAAACAACGTAAAAAGTATTTTTCATAAATGATAATTATTATAATCAAGACTTGATTCTGATAATAAAGATGAGATGTGACATAAGTCGTTAGAAATGATTTAAACATGAGAAAATAACAAAAAAAAAAAGCTCAAAATTATTAAATTCTAAATCAGATTTAGTAATAACACTTTATTTGGTCTTCACAATACTAAATTTACAAATGACAACAAATTTTTATTAACATTCCTTATTTAACATTTAGTAATTTCTAACTTTTTTTTGTCCTTTTTCCTTTAAACGTTCTCAGTGTATGAAAAAAAAAGTATAGGAATTTGACTCAGAAAGTATAAAAATAAATTACCTATTTAATTAAAATAGATGGCTCAATGACTTAGGCTAGTCATGTGAACGTGGTTTAAATAAATAAAAACCCACGTTAATTTGTCCCCTTTCAGAATAAATTACAGGAAGAAAAAAAGTAAATAAATAGTGGGAGAACATGTTTGCATTATGTTTTATCTTTACCGGTCATTTGGAAAAATGGACATTTCTCAATCTTTCTAGAATGAAATTTAGTCAAATTTTAGTTATTCTTTTTACACAAATATTTAACGCGCAAATTTGAAAAAGGGGGCAAAAGGTTATGAAAAGTGATCACCTAGCGTGATCGACTAAAACACTTGAAATGCACAATCAAGTGAAAAATCAGTGATATATATATAGAGAGAGAGAGAGAGAGAAGTTCGATATGATATTTTTAAAAGAAAAACTTTATTTTGTTTTATTGTGATATTTATTTAAACCAGGACTGAACTCATCTATTATTACACCGAGAGATGGTGGCAGTAGGATCATTAATGTTGAGACACTTGATTGAATTGAAAAAAAAAAAAAAAGTTTTTGTTTTCAGTATTTAGTGTGAAATCAAATAAAGAAGCGTAGTTAGGCTCCAATATGTTGTCTAAATCAAGCAACTTGGACCCTTACTTTGAAGGGATATTTTCACTACCTATGCAGTAGCCTTTTAAAGAGGCTTATAAATAAATACTGAAGTCACTTGATTTCAACAAAAAAAATGTTTGGATTAGCTTTTTAAAAATAATCTTATGAAGTCCGGTATAAATATATAAGAAGAATTTTGTCTCATCTTATGAAATTCTATTAATAAGATTTAGGATTTCATTTTCACGAAAATATATGAAAACAGACAACAGGGAAAGGAAAAGAAAGGTGAAAAATGACAATAAATAAAAACTAAAAAGATCTTCATTGGCTAATAGTGGCCAATCAATGCGGGTTTCTTTTTCTCGGGAGTTTCAAACTCACAAGTTGTTCTTCGTTGATTGCCCCTTCTATTATATAAGAGGCCAAGAATCTACAGATGTAAAGCAAGTTTTGTTGATAATTATACAATTCATACCCCACAAAAAGCATAAACTCAAATTCCATTATTATTATGAGGATATCCTTAATCAACAATTTGTAATTATACTTAAAATCTAAAAATGTTACTCCTCCAGTCCTTAATATAGGATCCAATTGTTAAGTTAGTTTTGATCTTAAATATAAGACTCATTTTTCATACTTATCAATTTTTTCTAAATTACCCCTATAAATATTCCCTCAACTATAATCAAGTAGAAGAGGAAGAGGGGATATTAAGAAAGATAATTATGGAGTTTTAGGAAAAATGTGTCACATTTCTTATAATTAACTAACTTACCTAACTTTTTTAATATAATCAAATTAGTTAAATGGATTTTATATTAAGGATCGGAAGAGTTCTAAAATAATGAAACTGGCATCAATCCAACTTAACAGTTTGGACAAATCGTTGTGACATCCCAAACCCGTCTCGGAAGAAAACCATGTTTTGGGTCTCCAAAATGGGTCCCACTTTTCTTTATCAGACAACATCCAAATTACATCTAGATTTATTATAAAGATGGGTTAAGATATATCCAATACTTTGAAGTATTTTTTTTTTATGCATCCAATACCTTTAAATATTTTGTGAGACATCGAGCACCTTAAAATATTTGTTTTTTATATGCGTCCAGTATCATAAAGTATTTTTTGGTGTATTTGGTGTCTCAAAGTATTTTTTTTTAAGTGCTTCAAGCACCAAAAAATATTTTTGCTGAATCCAGTACCAAAACCAAAAAAAAATACTTCAGTATGCTAAATGCACCACAAAATAATTTGGGATATTAAATACACTTAAAAAATATTTTAAAATATTGAATGCACTTTAATCCCATAAAGACCCCCCTCCTATCTGATTTCTCATTCTTGAACCATTATGCACGGAACTTCTAAACTCTCCCAGCTTCAAAGCTCAGTGAAATCTGTCCTGCAAGTATATGATTTTCATGATTGGTTTCTATCTCACGTGACAGTAACGTGTCAAGATGTCAGTGAATTTGAGATGAACATCCAATATCATCCCCTTCAAGCTGTAGTGAAAATAAGAAGCCATTGTAACTGTCAGTCACTGTCCCAGAAAATTGATGAATGGCCAGCAAGCATATGCCCTCATCGGTTTGCATCGTGGGCAGGACAATGGATTGGAAGACCCCACAAGCCCCTATAAATAATTGCCTTTTTTTTTTTTAGGCCTGGCCAGCTATTCATACCTGCTATCGTGATTGGAATCTTGCTTGTGGACCAAATTGAAGGTCCTGGTGGGGTTTGGAGAGTATAAAATAATGGGGAATCTTGAGGAGAGAGCAATTATATCATTGAAATCACAGTTGGCTGTAGGCCAAAATCCACTTCCAAGTGGGTAGTGGGAGAAAGCTCGAATCCACAAAAAAGAACCACACAAACACGCAGGGAGAAAGAGAGAGATTGTCTAGCCACCCACTAGGTTGCAGTATTTCAACGTTTCTAGAGGGTCCATTACTGCATTACCCCCTTTTCTTTTTCTGCACTCTAGTTCCCACGCTGAAACAAAAGAAACCATAATGAATTCATATGTCATGGCTGTGACGTAAAAGGTACTATCATTGAACCTGAACAGGATCAAAAACACATTCGTCAGGATTACTATAGCATCGATTGAGCCGTGATGATCTGCCTAACTGACAGGAAAATAGCTGTTTGTTTAAGAGATGAAGAATTATCAAGATATTTATTTAAATGCACAGGGACAGATATGCCATACTCAATTTACAAATGTATTCATGAGGACACAGTCTCTGACATCCTTATGCATCTATTAATAAATCCTTGAAATTTCTCCTAGTTTTATTAGTTTTCTCCAGAACAGATATGGTAACTAGGCTAACAATCTTCATAAGTGAAACATACCAGAAGATAATAACAGCAGTCGCCAATATAAAAACGAACCAGAATACATTCTATATACATCAATTCAGTAACACAGCCACACAGGACGGCGATATGCCAATATCAATTGGTTTGCAATTATAAGAAAGTGGTAGAACCAATTAGAGAGGTAAATGTGACAGGTTTATGAGATTAGAGTTCCATGCCTTGCTGATGAAGCATAGCTGCATGCATCATTTAGGTCATAGACAAGAAGGTTGTTGTCAATGCGACGTCAATTTCCAATAATTAGTTCCCGGGATTACTTGCTTTCCCTGATAAGAATATCATAAAGCCAGTGCGCCCCTCACAATGATGCAAGTTCACAATCCTGCTGGGTCCCTGTACTGACAATGCCTTCTCAACGGTTATTTTAGAAGCACATCCGCAACAAGGAATTCACGTCTAAAACTTAGTTGCGTATAGGTAATTTCATCTTGGCGTGTTTTCAGTGTTTGTTGAGCCTGTCCCCATACTAAGGGGAAAAGGAAATAATTAATGTCCCTGCACAGTATCTAATTTTCAAAGACACAGTAAGAACATCGCAACCTAAGCTACCCAGTAAAAAGTACAAAATCCAGTAAAAGAATCCTATTTTATTTACAAATAGTACACGAACAAGCAGTCTAGGATATCTAGTTAAGGTCCAACAGCAAAATTCCTTTCCCTCACCCCCTCCCCACCCAAAATAATTTTTTTTCTCCAGCATCCTAAAACTTAAGCCATCTCTTCTCTTTTTCTTTGCTAACCACTGCATTTGAGGCGGAGACATGGGCTGCTTCAGTCTCAGCTAAAGCCTTGCGGGTTTCAATCAACTTTCTCGTAGCAGCCTCATAAACTGCCTTCTCTCTCCTGTTTCTATTCACCATTTCTTCGAGTTTCGCAACCCGAATCCTTAAGTCATTGACCTCATCCTCATAAGCAATCAAAGCCCTCCTATCAACCTTTTTACCTTCCCCTGAACCTTTACCTTGCTGCTTCCTCGCTGATCCACCATTTATAGCTTCACCATGCATTGCCAGCTGATTATTTATTAGTGTAAAGACATCTGATACCGCTTCCTCCTCTTCTTTTGCTACCCGAATTGCCTCTGCAAATTTCTTATCACGTTTTCTCTTACCACCTCTACTCCGTTTCTTACCTTGATTGTCTTTGCTCTCTTCTCCTTTATCTTTATGAGATTCAAGAGCATGATCTAACGATTGCTTTGGTGGAAGGACCTTCACTGGGATGGGATTAATCATTCCTTGACCAGAAACACCTAAACCCATACCTTCACGATAACCCATATTGGCCATCATTTTGGAAGCTACGCCCCTGGTGTGATTCTCCCATTTGGCAAATATAGCAGTTTCAGTCTGAATACCCCGCTGCAAGTTGGTGCTTTCCAGAAAGCCTAAACCTTGGGGGCCACCTTCTTCATAGTCACTAAAATCAGACTGTTCTGAGCTGGAATCACTCTCTTCATCACTAACTTCTGCACATTCAGATAATGCTATAGCTTCTGCTCCTAACTTCACAGAACTTCCATCATCTCGGAAAACAACTTGTCCAACTCCAAGTTCTTCATCCCAGGATTCAAGCTCAGCTTCCTTCCAAATGCCAGCATTAACGTCTGAGACTGCCCATATACTTGAACCAACCAGGGACTGCTTCCAGATGGTAGGAACATATTTTCTGAGGGAAGACAGTGGAACATCAATACCTGCGAATGAAAAGTGATCTGTTAGCACAGGAGAACGAAATACCAGACACCTCAGAAAGGCATAACAACTTCTTTCCTGCATGAAATGTATAGGAACAACAATCATCTGAATCTGGAAATAGGCTTAACAACTGAAACAATCCAGAATAACTAAGAGGGGGGGGGGCGTTAGACCAAAAAATCTTAATTCCACTAGGGTAATAAAAGGCTTGGACCGATAATGTCTAACAGAAAAGTTTTCCTTCGTATATAAATCAGTGAAGTTCCCTTTTCGGCCTTGATTTTTTTTATTTGTCTAAGAGAAATTTTTATATAAAAGAATAAATATGAAACTACCTGACAGTCACATACACAAACCCCTTTTCAAGTTGTCAAAAGAAAAATTTACATTGATATGCTATCTTACAGAAAAAATGACAATACCATAACCAAAAGTTAATTCTTAATAATGCTAACTTATGTGCTGATTTTCTTCGCAGTGGTCAAGAAAAAGATGAAACTAACATCTAGTTGTTTCACAAAACAAGACCCAAACCAACAAAATCTTCACGAAAGGTCATGAGACACTAGGGAAACAATCTCCAAAAAACCTCGGCTCTTACAAGTTTAAAGGCCAATAGAATCTAGGGACCAGGGGAAAATATCAGTCTGTGTGACCAAGTTAATTTATTTGTTCAATAACTGCAACTTACCATGTGATAGACGACAGTTAGCACCAAAGCGACATCGTTGTTGCAGAAAAAACTTGCACATCTGCACTTGGGTGGCATAGAATTAGTACTGACACAAGTAGCACCACTTCATTTTACAGAATAATCTAAGGAATAGCTAAATATTTCAAAGGTATGCAAATATTTCCAAACAGGCAATAAAAATCACATATCATTACAGACATAAATCAATTCATAGTGTCCAAGCAGGATGAGCACCCTCATGTTCCATCATATAAAGTAGTTAATGGAGTTCAACATCACTGTTATTGAGAATATATTTACCTATCATTAAGGTGATGTGCATCTGTGCGAGGAATGAAAATATGCCAAATTATAGGTCTTGAACAATTTAAAGTTGCAAGATTATTAAAATTTACTATGATTGCATTATAGTTGAAAGCTACAAATATCCAACATCCCCAGCAATCTTTTTTTGAACTGCCGGGAGCTAGTCTCCCAATAGGGCTACTTGTATTAACACATTTCTCTTGTAGCAATTGATAAGGTCAAATTGGTCACAAATAAATATTACAGTAAAATACTTTCTTCATCTCCTTTATTTTATTGAAATAACAAAAACCCCCTCTATTTAAGAAAATTACACAATCCTCCCACAAACATGGGAGGTTTGCAAGAAAAGGGGAACCAACAGTGTCATGTAATCTCAACAGAAAGAGCAAGTAATTAGCCAAATTAAAGTTAAAAATTGAGAGAAGCAGAACCAACAGTGTCATAACACAAACCAATAAGCATCTATACAGACTGTACCTATATCTAACATAGCCCGGACAAAACATTTAAATTATGAAAATGTAGGTTTATAAATTCCTCTAAAAGAATATATGCCATCTGTCTCTCTACTTTTCTCTGTTTCAATTTTGTTTAAAACCAGCATTTGATTTTTGCTCAGTACAGGATAGGAGCTTTGCTTCCTAATCAATGTTTCCTGAAAGCTCCCTCATCAACCATGGCAATATATATTATCCTTACCAAGAATTATATTATATTTAACCTCTCTTTTTTCTCGTCAATTCTTTTTGCCTCCTAAATAAATACAAAAGAGGTGCAGCTTGCTTCCGTTTGTATCAAATATATCCTGCATGGCCTCGTGTGCTGATCAAAACAGATCCAACATAGTAATTTCTATGGACAAAAGAAAGGATAACATGCGATCAGTGGACTGTTGCCATTTCAATTCTTTATCTCATAATTATTACAAATGAGAGAAAGGATGTACATAGGTAATATTATACATATAGACCAATCACTGGCTCATTACAATATAAGCTTTTGTCACCATGATGAATTTAAAGAGAGTAATTCTAAGTATAAGAAAAGAAAATAACACACACCAGCATATTCTCAGACGTAGGCATCAGGAATGACATTTTTGCTGAAGAACTATTTAACTGCACCACTTGACCAATGTACCAACGACCATTAGTGTGACGAAATCTACACTTAGATCCAACAGAATAATGTTGTTCCTCTAAAGGTTCTGGTTCAACATCTGCAGGATCAAGTGGCTCAACTTTCTCTGCTTGAGCAGAAAGATTAGATCTATACAGGACTGAATCCGCTTCATGCAATAATCGAGTACGCTTTAAGTGAAGAAGCCCTTCCTCTGCATCCTTGATTGCCTGAACAAGCTCCTCATGAACCTGAGATGATAAAGCACCAATGTTAAGAAGTCTGCTAGAGTTTATGAAATTAGCCACAGAAATTTTCCATACTGTCCAGGTTTCCTTGGCACTGGCTAATGACCAGATCCTACCATTTGTTATTTACGTTCATGCCAATGAGAAGATTAAAATAAATAACTGGGTCTAAAACTTAAAACCAAAATCCAAGAGATTAAAGGGTGTAGAGAACAATTTGGCAACAAAAAGCTTAACTTTCTGTTATATGCATGTTTCAGAGTTCTGAATAAGGTAAGACGCTTAAGTTGCCCGTTAAGTCTTTAACTACCTTAGAAAACATGCTACTTGAACATTAGAATTAAATTACCCATGCTTGGCAGCTAACCTAAGCATTGTCGTATTGAGAAATCAATGATATTATGAAAATATTTAAGCAATGCTCACTGACTTTACATCTGAATTACACAAATTCAATTTCCTGCAATATCTCTATTAGCTTGCAGAAACTGAAGACAGGAGGTTAAATAAAATCTGTCTTCCATCATATTTTCGATGTGAATCTAAAGAATGGGTGCTTTTAATGAGTAACATATGACATTAATAGCTGGCATCGATTATATGAGCTTTACCAATGTTTTTAGTTTTTTCCTTGGTCCCCGTTTTGGATCACTGAGTCTGATATAGGAAAATGTTTGAGATTAATAATATACAGAAAATAACTCAGAATTGCACATTTTTCAAGCCTCAGTATTTCCTTTTGCAGATTCCAACATTAAAGCAAATGTTTGAGATTAAGAAATTATTTTTGAAATATACTCCTCTTGTCCTATTTATAAGGCAGGGAGAGAAGATATTTTTTGATCCTATTTATACAGCACTTAGAAATTTTTTGTATGAATGTATAATTTTACTCCTCATCTATTATTGAGTTGACTTTGTTTACATGAGATATATGTATATTAAATAGGGATAAAGTTAGAAAGTTATTAAATTTTAAATGAGAGTTAACGAAGCTTAAAGTTTTTTTAGTCTGTGTGAAACATGCTGAAAGTGCCTTATAAATAACACCAAACAATTACAAAGCCACAAAAATGATCAAGACAAACTTGTCAGCATCTGTCGTTGAAATGAACAATCCTACAGGTCTTGTTTACCAAGTTAGGAAGAGAGCGGAGCATAGCATAGAACCCCACAAGATAAAGCTCTCAAACACTTTCCCATGACAAAACGTAACGACGTTTCCCTACCTAAGAATTAACATTTCAACCCATTTACATTAGTAGCATTGATGTAGAACTGAGGATTAAATTTATTATCTAAAAGCCTCATTCATATGACAGCAAGCAGAAGTAAAGCATAATCCCCAAATTACATAAGTATCCATTCCATCTTTTTTTAAAAAAAAAAAGGGCATTAATTATATAAATTTCTCAATTGATAACTACTCCCCATATTCCCAAGTATTCCGTCATCAGCACATTACCCTCCACCTCGAAATTCTATCGGAAATTATTAGGGCAGCCTAATATTGATGTTCCATCACTCCAGTTGGTTAACATTTCCACATTTCCAGACAGGAACTAGAAACAATACCTCACCGGAACAATTGTTTTTCTTGTTTTTCCAAGATTAAGAGAGATTATAATAGGAACACGGGCGGAATTTAAAATCGGTTATAGTAATCAGAGGCTTAAGCATGTCATTCATTCCGATTGTGCCAGCCAAAGTTTCGAGGCGGAAAGCGAGACGTACCGCAAGAAGCTCGGGATTGGATGGATCAGAAACCAAAGCTTCATTGAGTGCAGAGAGTGAATCCCTCTGTTCCTGCAATTGGAGCTCTAGTTGAGTTTCCAGATGTCTCTCCTCTTCACTAGCCATTGTCCCCACCGAAGCACTTTCTTCCCGAGAAGAGCGAATAGCTGATTATCGGAGTCATATTTTTAGTTTTCCTACCTCAATCCGACCCGCTTTAATGCCCGCCCCGTTTTCTTTCTTGTTTATTTTTGGCCTTTTGACGTCCCGGGCTTCTTCCGCTTCCATCTTATATCCCCCGAGAAAAAAATTAACATAAACCCACATTATATGAATTTTTATTGGGGTAAAAAAGTTTACATATATGTTAATCTCTTAAAATGTGACGATTTAATATTCAAATTCCTATTAACAGATTAGAAAAAAAACTAATCATATTACCGGATGCTTGATAAGTAAATATTTGTTATGACGATAACAATATCAATACCAAAATAATCATCATTAAAGCTTTGACATGTCAATGTAATATTATATCTTGTTTTTAATATAAGAGTTAGTTAAAAATTTAATTTAGTTTTAAATATAAAACTCTAATCTATTTTGCTTTCAATATTTATTTATTTTGCTTCCAAATGATTCATATGGTGATTACACATGTTAAAAAATTCTATCAAGTAAAGTTTTAATACACATGATTAACAAGGGTATTTTAAAAAAGTTAACATCCATTTATCACAAAAAAAAAAAACTAACTTAACTAAGTTTTTGAATATTTACCAATTAATTATCTAGGTCTTCTATCAAGAAACCAGGGGTAGCACAGGTTACCATACTCTTTAAATGCTTGATGTAAAACCTAATTAACTAATTTGAATAAATTAAAAAAATAAATAAATTATTTAATCCTCATAAATGTAAGACAATCTCTCTAAAATATTCCTAGCATTAGTTTATAAATGAGTGAGATAAATTTAATTTGAGAAAAATAATAAATATAAGTGAAAAAAGTGAATTATACATTAATAATCATAAAGGCATGTTCAAATGGATTCCCAATCTGGATATTCGTAAGCATATCTCAGGCACAATAGCACCATTTTATTTTCCTAATTGCGGATACATACGTATATCTACCACATACATATCCGTGTACTGCATATATAAGCTACTTTATTTTTTTATATATAACGTGCTTCTCCATTTTTGACCGGATTCCATGCGCGCCTTTTGAGCCTAATATGTATAGCATATTTTTGAGTTGAGGTGTACCAATTACCAAAATCGTAGGCCCAATTGCGAGCCACCATGTTTATTTGGTTCTTTCTTTTAAGGGACAAAATCTTTCAATCCATTTAAGATAAGACCTTCCTCCTTCAGCATGTCTCGTTACATCATACACCCCCAATTCCAATTGTTACAAAAATTTTGTCAATTTGATACATGATGGTATTTTTGTTTTAGTTTGAATTTGGACAATTACATATATTTTATAATTCTCAATTCATCCCATCCGATAATTCTTATAAATGATTTTAAAAAAGAAAACAGCGATTTTCCTTGTTCATTCTGCCGCCTAAAGTCTCCTTGATCCTATCCCAGAATTTTTTTTTGGGGGGAAAAGTGTTTCTTCAATTTAAAATAATAAAGTAATTCACGAAAAAGAAAGATATTAAATTTAAAATTTAAGTAAAATTGAACAATCACGTCACATGGTTCCGTTTAAAATTAATGAGAAAATGAGAACCAATCTGAGGAAATTATTTTCATCTTTCATACACATGGCATATCTAAGTGGTCCTTGTATTTTCTTCAACGCATAATATATTAATATGCGCTTCCTAGAAAAGACCCATTATCTTCGTCTTTATATAAATATATATATATTCCATGAAAATGAATTACTGTAAATTATTGCTTGTAGTAACACGAAAGAATTTGGCACCAAATGATTGAGGTGAGATTGGGTCCAATCAAACAAGAACCTAAAACACCCATTATTTTGCAGAGCTCCTAGCAAAGAAGGAGCAGAGTCACGCTTGCTACAGATTACAGTGAAATCTGAAAAGAAAGGAGGAACGTGGGAGGAAATCGATAATCAAACAAAGCCCACGTATCTTTTTCTTTTCCGTTCAAACCATTCAAAACTGAGAGCCTAAGGAAAGATGAGATGAAAGATCGAATCTTGGCGTTTTCCAGAGGGTTCTCTCTAATCTGACATTGCCCTTACTTAGAAGCTAATTCTCTTGTCCACATGCCAAAGCTAAAAGCAAAGAGAGAAGAAAGAGAGCCTCTTGGGACTGCCGGAGGATTCCTTCCTCAAAACAGTAATAAAAATCACAAGACGTTCAAACCTCACTGTTTCTGAAAAGACTAAAGGGAAAAATAAAAGGAAAAGGAAAAGGAAATGATTTCTTCCAAACCTAATGATTCATCCCCAATTTCTAAAATTCCAATTGACCACCACACACTGCCAAACAAAGCTTGAGTGCATAGCAGGCAACATGATGGTTCCTTTTTCCTCGTTGCTCCTTCATACCATAATCTGATAAAGAAATCTACCAAACCAGTAAATTCATTTTCTGGGTTGGTTAGGAGGTAGATTCAAATCAAGAAGAAAATCCCTTAAATGAACAAAAATTGAAAAGGGGCTTCCAGAAACCTGTGTTTCCCCAAACCCCATGAAATAATCAGACACACACATTAACACCAAGCATCTGTTTGAATCTGTTGAATAGTTAATACTGTATCATGCAATAGTGAAGATCGTCAGAGGCAAAAGGGAATCAAACCAGAAATGATATCAAATTTCCAGCGAGTGCAAGAGATAGAACCAACATGAGGAAGAGCTAATGTCAAATTTCTCAACTAGTATTTATATATACACACTGACAGAGACAAGAACCTGCAGAAAATGGGGATGAACACCCACATTGGATACTACAAACCCTAATCCATTAAATTCTTGAGTAACAAACAGATCGTGATATCTTTTTCTTTTTTCAAATTTTTCCTCTTTTGAATAGAAAAGGGGAAGAGCATTGATCAATACCCCTACTGGAACACCATGGCAGAAGATTACACTCACAGAATCAAGATCATACCATCATAATCTCATATCTGATCATCATCTTTTCATTTTCTTCTTTTTTTTTTGGTGATTTTTCCGCGTAAAATAAGGGAACAAAAATAGAAGGGTAAAGTAAAAAAAAAAAATTAAGATTCATTTTCCTTGATTCAAGATCAGAGGCAGAGCGCGGTACAGTGAAGATCGTCACCCGCCACGTTAGCCGCATCCCACGGTGGGAAGTTGAGATCGAAAGGCAACGGTTGGCGGAACGACGACGAGGCGAAATCGGCTACCTCACCGCCGCCGTCCCCGTCGATCACTGACGACGAGGAATCGCAGTCGCTGTGGCAGTCCTCTGGCATGACCGGCGGCGTCCGGGGGTATCTACGGTTGACTGCTGCCGGAGCCGTCGTGGACGGTGGCCGTGGCCCGCTGAAGGATGTGCTGCTCATGCTACTGGTGGCTGGTCTCTGAGGGTTAATCTGGTGCTCCTGGAAAGCGCTGTTCCCAAACAACCGGTGATCCAAGACGTCCTCGTTGACGTTGGGGTTGGTGGTGGGGTAACAGAACGGCGAGAAAGAAGGAGAGATAGGAAAATTGGTCTTGGCCTTGGGTCCACGGAGGGCTATCGCCGCGGCGTCGTAAGCTCGAGCCGCTTCCTCGGCGGAGTCAAAAGTTCCTAACCAGACACGAGCTTTCTTCAAGGGGTCTCTGATCTCGGCGGCGAATCTGCCCCACGGTCTCTTCCTCACGCCCCGGTACCTTGGCTCTTTTAAAACCGCCCTTGAACCGGATCCATCAAGTTCAACCGCCGCCATCTGTTTAACAGCGGCGGCTCCTCTAACCCTCCTCATGTTCTCCAAGAATCCTCCTCACGGTACACAAAAAAAAGCTGTGAAGGGAGATAAACTGGAAACAGAAACCCAGAATCAACTATCAAGAAAGGCAGTCTCAGGACTATGGATTATTCAATCGTAGATGGGCATTTCAATCTGTAAAATATATGACAGAAATATGAATAAGATTTGTTCAGAGACCGGAGATTATGAGGAGGGTATGAGGGAAGGCAAAGGTGAGAGAGAGGAGGAAATGGTTGGAAGGAGAGGGAGGGACAGGAAGGCACAAACACCTCAACGGCACCATCATCTTCTCCACACACAAATATAAATAAAAATAAAAGAAGCATTTTTATTATTATGGAAAAGCAGCTGTTAATTTTTTTAATTAAAAAAAAAAAGGACGCGAAATGGAAAAGGGGCAGGTTACGTTCTTCGCTCTGACCTGACCTGTGGGTTCGTTTCCCTCCCTCGCTGTGGTTCTAAATGGCCCTGCCTTCCTCTCTCTCCCCATCCCCCCCCCCCCGGCGCCCAGTCTCCTCCCCCAGTTAATGCCTTTTAAGTGTAAAAAATAATAATAAGTAAAAATTGGGCCAAATCTGGATGGAATATGAAACCAGCCAATAATAAATGTAGATTTTTAGGGTATTAGTATACAAGAAAATCAATTAAATAAATTTAACTTTTATTCAAAATTTTAAAAAAGACTAATAAATTTTAAATCAGAAATGATTATAAAAATATGTTATCATTTGTCTTTTGTGTATAGTTGTTTTCTTTACTAGTGTAATAATTAATATTGATTTAAAATTTTAAAATTTAATAGTTGTTTTTTTAGGATTTTTTCTAAAAAAATTTTCAGATATTTATGTAAAATCCTTCGTAATGACTTGAAATAAACTAATTTAAATACTCATTCTATTCGATAATTTAATTTTTGCTACTGAATTTCTTTTTTAATCCCAACTATTGAATTTAATTGTCGTCCGCATGACATTAAAGCCGGGTACAATAAATTTATAACGTACGAGTCGTTGCTTCTGGCCAAAAAAATTTGACGAGTTTGATTGTCTGAATATCTTTTTTTTTTTAACTTTGGACAGAAAAGTATTAAATGGTTTCTCAAAAATTTAATGCATTTTTTATTTTACCCTTAATTGATTACACTCTTTTTATTACCTTTTTAATATATTTTTCATTTTCTATTCCCTCTCATAAATATATGTTTCATATATTTATTGCATTTAGTCATCTTTGTTACATATATTTAATCAGTTTTAACTGGTTCGGCTACTTGAAGCAGATTAAACGTAATATATGATTTAATAGTGTGAGTTTAAATTATTTTATACACCTCGTATATTGAAAATGGTAAGATAACATTTCATGAAATGCAACAACAAAAAATTTAACATGCTAGGAAAAGTAAAATTTTGAAGTCATTTTTTTTAATTTGAAGAAATGATCATTAAACTTTGAAGTAAAAGTAATATGATAAGAGTTAAGCTTGCAAGACAATTTTGTGATCCTCAACTCTCTAATAAGTAATAGCGGCAATGAAATCTTTGGAGTTAAATTGAAGTTAATGGCATGTGACTTCCTATAATCCAGTGTCGTGAGAAAATAGCCAACTCAGTTATTAGTTTTTTTTAATTAAAGAAAAAAATAAACTTTACTCTTTGGGGACAAATAAAATGTTGTTATGGTTTAAGTAATATGTGTTAGTTTTATCCGAGCGTTTATTATTAATAATTAATATTTATAATTTATAATAAATGCTTGCCTGGAAGAGTAATAAATAATAAATGAGAAATATGAATGATGTGAGATCCTAATTTCCATTTCCAGCGAAAAGACGAAGGAAGCGGGGAAGGATTGGGTGAGATATACGTGATGTTGCAGAAGAAATCAGAGGCGCGTTGGTCGGTGTACTTTCGGTTCTGGTGTGGTCTCTTTCACCATATCGCATCTCTTTCCTTATTTCTTTTCATTGGTGCCAGGAAGCCAAGTGCCTTTTTTTTTTTTAGGAGGTTTAATAAAAATTAAATACAGCATATCAGTCTGGGAGGTTTTAAACCATCCAAAGAATGAATCAAGCCCTTCCCACATATTTATAAGAGAAAGAGTAAATGGTAAATTCGATGGAATGGTAGTTCGGATTATGAGTTGAGGTTGCGTAGGACGGTTCAGCATCTCTTTATGTTTAAATAAGTAAGTTTAGTTTGTAAAATAACCAAAATAAATATGACTTTTATTAAATAATTAAAAATATAAATTTACAAAATATAATAATTTTAAATTATTAGGAAGAATTTATATTTAATGACTAGAATATATAGAGAGACTGAGTGAAGCATAAAAACAACATAAATATAAGAATAAAAATGTCTTCTAACTCAAAAAGACTGCTTTTATATAACTCATAAATAAGTCTTAAGTGTTTTTGTAATCATGTTTAAAAATTAACTTTTAACTTATAAGTCATGTTGGCTAAAAGTGACTATAAACTGTCTTTAAGGGGGTGTTTGGCAAAACCAAAACCTAGGTTTTAAAATCATTTTTCCGCAAAACGAGGTAACCTCCTCCAAATATTTACTTCGCAATCCGTAAAAGCACTTCTGAAACTATGGTTTGGTTTCTATCCAAACACCCCCTAAATTGCAAACTGACTTACGGTGTCTCTGAGTTTTTTTTTCTTTCTTTGATGCATGGGTCTATCCGTCTATGTATGAGTTATTGTTTGCTTGCTCAAACGCCCCACCAAGGCACCAACACTGGCACACAGTCCTTGATCACACTCCTTCACAGGCCCTTAAACTGCAGCGTGCTTGTCTGTTTTTCCGCTCATGTCCATCAAAACTTGATATTGACGAAAGTAACATTGCATTGTTTTACAAAAACTAATTAACTAATTTAAATAAATTTAAAAAATTAGTTAAATTAGCTATTTATAATAAATAGTTATTGTCTTTTTTACAATACCTTTAATAATAATGTATATTAACTAGAACTGGATTTTTTTTTTAATTTTTAAGGGATCAGCCGTAGAGCATATGCAAATATTTCAATGTATAAACACATTTGCACGTATAGCGGGGAACTTGCAGCTATTGGGATTGATATTTTCATAAGTGATTTTATAGTATATTGTTATAATTTACGTGAAAGCATTTTTTTTTAAGTGTTTTTGAAGAATGCCAAATTCTCCTTCTTGTTCGGAGAAAGAAAGCAGTGTTAGTGGATTTTAAGGAACTGTTTGTTACGAAACATTAAAAATGAGATATGAGAATTGGGATTGAGATGAAGAAAATAGTATTTAGTATGAAAGATTGCTTGTTATATGAAATTAAACAAATCTATATATATGGAATTGGGAAATACTATGAGGGAAGTGTATTCCTCAATCCTACTTCTATGAGTTTGTCTAATTCCATGTAACAAGTAATTACCCATACTAAAGACTTTTTTAATATTTTTTCAACTGCAATCATAATTCTTATTTCTCATTTTTAATATTTTGTATCAAACGGGACCTAAGGTCTTTGAGAATTATAATACACTTCTGATTTGATTTATAAGGCACTTTTAGTATGTTTCACGTAGACCAAGAAAAATATTAAAACACATTAACTCTCCGTTAAAATATAATAATTTTCAACTTTATCTGTATTTAATATATACACCTTTTAAACGAAATAACTACCTGCACTATAATAAATCAAAGACAAAATAATATATTCACGCTGAAAATTTAATGAAGTGACTTATAAATATAACCCTTAAAAAATATTCTCTCTCTACCCTACAAATAAGACCAGGGGAGTAACAATTTTAAAACGAAATAACGAACACGCAATGAATTACTTGCGGCATGTTTGATCACCCACCCCAACCAACAATAATGTTTCAAAACCCCATGATTATAAAGAGGGCAAATTGAAGAGGTTTAAATAGACGGCTAATATTGCGTTAGCATCAAGGGTATGCAAGATTCAACATAATTCTATTTTTCTCAATATTGTTGTGTCCTAAGAGCATGCAGCTCCCTACAATTACACTCCTAATCTTTAAGTTTAATTTCACTTGTAACTCTAAGTTACTGGTGCTTATCCTTCCAATGAAAACAAACACAAAAGTCAAGTTTTGATGATTGTGGATTATGAAATCCTAGGTAATTTTCTTAAAACAACATTCTATACACGATTTTTTTTTTTTTTTCTTAGCATCACATTAAGAAAATTCTCATCATGTCTTTTTCTTTCAGAAGAATATATTTCATTCATTCATTGATTTTTTTTTTTTTGCTTTTTTGGAATTCCAATAAACCTTCACCGACCTCTTCAAAGAATCAAACCAAAGGGGAATGAATCGATCCTCAGCACAGAGCAGGCACAAATATTATATAATATATGTAATGAAATAAAGAAGGAATGATCATTAATTTCACATGACCCCATTAAGTGTATTTTTTGATAGGTGGACTTTGGATTCCCTCCCTCCTAATCATCTAACACGCAATCCATTCCACCTTTCTTCCTATTTCACCCTTCAGCTATTATTAAATTATTTCTTAAGAAAAATAAATTTAAGAGGAATAATTAAGACCAAACTCTGCCGTTATTAAAATTTTTTTATTTTATTTTCATAAAGATGCCCGGTTGTTTTCCTTGTATATTCCTGTTCACGCCTTACCTTTTTTGTTTTTAAATTTATCATACTTCAATTTTCCCTGTTTTCCAAATCTATAAGTTTTAAAATGTCTCTTATAGTTATACACATTACAAATGATTAGAATTTTTTATAACTAATTAATTTAACTAACTTTTAATATTTATAAACGAGTTACTTAATTGCTTTAAAAAATTGATACTTTGGACAACCAATAAGAATGCCTTCTTTTCTTAGACAGGAAGAAGATATCCCCTCCTATCAAACAAATAAAGCGTTGCAAAATTTGTCTAGTTATTTGACGTGTTTGTTAAACCTGCATATATAATTATTATTATTTTTTTGGTGGACCAAACTTTTAATTAATTTGAAACATGCAGCGCGCCCACACACACACACATGCATATATATATATATATATATATATATGATGCCATTAATTATGCCATTTATATGGTTGTTGGCAAATTTCTGGATAGTGGGAACTCGACAACAAACAGGTTCAACTTACGGCTACCTGTTTCTCCGTTTTTAGCACAATATAATATTTTTTATTTTAAATTGGTCCAAAGATATATATGTCTAATTTAATAGTAATTATTTAAATTTGCCCTTTTGTACCATTAAAATTGCATAAGTAATTAACTCATTGTTCTTAATATGGTTATGGTTTTTGACTTTTTTCTAAAGGCACGTTTAAAGTTTTTTCACAAAGTTTTACACATTTAATTAATTATATAATTTTCTTTTAATTGTTATTTTCAGTCCGAGGTAATTAAATTATGTTCATGGTGTTGATTGAAGAAGCAGAAGATAATGGGGTTAGGCCTTGGAGGATTAGATATTCTCTCTTGTATTCTATATTAAGTCATGGCAACAACTTTGCCTGATTATATCTATTAATGTAGGGAGAATTACAATGAGGTCCCAAGTAATTAAAAAATAAGTCCCAGAAGTTGTTATTCTCACTATAAGACTTGTTATTACAGGCTGCTCAGGTTGTGACTTGAGACTTTTTAGTGATTATTTCTCTTATGTAGGACTTGAATGTAATTCTCCCATTAATGTATGCACATTAATTTATTTTTAAATTTTCTTTTCCGTTGAACTAATTTTTTTATCAATAACTCATTTAAAGATTTAATCATTAATAGAACTTAATAACATTGTGCACAATCCATTTACTCGACCTTACGCAATGTAAGAAAACTTTATTACTACTGTTAAAATAAATTATAGGAAAAATCATAATTAAAGATCTTAGAATTTAAAAAACACAGATAAGGACCTGTGACAACTTCATTATGGCTTTTGACAATAATAATATGTCAGGAAGTTGTCAAAACCCATAGTAAAGTTGTTACGGATCCTTATCTATGTTTTTCAAATTCCAGAGTCTTTTTTTGCGATGTCCCCTAAATTACATTAGGTTTTTATAATCCTAAATTTTTCTTAATTATAAATTCATAAAAATATGATGGATGCTGAAGTTACGATAAAAAAAAAAAATCTATCAGATAAACCGTGTATATATTGCACCTTCCGAATTAGCAAATCACACCATTAAAATGAATATAACATGTGGTCACATATAATTATAAAAATTGGAATATATTGGAAGTAGGGCAAGTAAAGAAAAAGAAATTGCATTTACTGGAGGCAGTGTTTGGGATTATGGAGGGTTGGACAAGGATGTATTGTGATATAATATCATTGCTCATGGCCAAGATAATGACAGACCATATGTCAAAAAGGTGGCATTAAAACGTGTAAGGTAACGCACTTATTATTCTCTTTGTCCATTAACACAACTACGCTTGCCTTCATTAATTAATTAATTTGTTTCTTTTATATTTTCCTCCTAATTTATTTGTCTTTTTAACCGAATAACTGCTTTTTTGGCCAAAAAAGGAAAAAAGAATAACTAGTATCTAGTTTTTTTTGGAAAAAAACAAACGTGTTTACTAATTAGTGCGCTTGAGTTTTGGTTTGGTTGTGATACTGATTTTCATATTTGAGATTCCCAAAGAGAGGTCTACCTCCCCAGCAACCCACAAATAATTGTAATGTGTTTTGGGGAAAAAATAATTGTAGTATAATTTAATTTGTAGGTAAATTATACTCCTTCTACTTTTAATTGCCAATAGGACATCATTTTTAGAAACGAGAGTTATTTATATTGTAGTATATAGCATTTGATGAGTAATGAAATTTTTTAAAAATTTTATCCATTGAGTGGTTAGAATATTAGTAACTAACAATCATCCCACTTAATTTTTCATGACTTGTTGTGAAAAAAAAATCTATCATTTTATCTTAATTGCTGGTCAAAGCTATGCCTTAAATTGAACAAATACTATGGTCTCCCTTCCCCCCTGTACACTAATCTCTTCAAAAATTAAAAAAAAAACTCCTGCGGTACAAAAAAAGGGGTCTAAATTTGAATTTAAAGGGTTGGCCAAAAAACAAAAAATAATGTAAAAGAGTTGTCGCTTGTCAATAGTTTGGTGACCTAACGAGAAGATCGTTAAAAATAACTTATAAATAGCTCTTTAATAATAATTTATGAAATATAAGATAATATATAAAAAAATTATCTCAATTTATATAAAATATGTTTATATTATTGCTATTCTAAACCAGGTTTAAATCTCATTTTATTTAGAACTTTTATATACTTCCCGCTAATTTTTCCTGAAAAAAAAAAATCAGAACTCGAATAAAGTGAAAGAAGCAGGCCGAAGAAGGAAACCCGCGGCGGGGGGGCATCAGTGGACAACTGTGAAACGTGGTCTCAAAAATAAATATGTGGGCCCCGCTGGCATCGAATACCAATCGAGCAACCCTGCGCATTACGCAGGCCTTGCTCTTCAGGCTTCAGCTCACCTTCGCAGCGCTGAGGACGTGGGAAGGCGCGTGTGGGTCCCACCCACTTGGGACACGTAGGTCGGGGGGATGGATGAGGAAGCGGGTTCAACCCGGAAACTCCCCCGTTCTGGTGTCACGTTTCGATGTAGGGTTGGGTGGAGGACAAAGCGCGGGATCTAGGCGGGGCCCACCTGTCTCTGTGACCGCGTATTCTCTCTCTACTCGTGACCCCAACCGCCACCTGTACGTGGCCACATGCCTTTTATTCCCGCCAATTCTCATCCCACTGACACATGTCATTATTTTAATCACCCTTTGACTCTGTCTTTTTTTTTTTTTAAAAAAAAAAAGGTCTTTGGGGTGTTGAAATATTAAACGGGGACTGAATTCATTATGGCGTTGTGGGGAGGAGGTGCCCCCACCCGGGTTGCTTTGGGAAATTGTCCGGTGTGCCCCCGTGTTCAGGATAAGCCTATTTTTCCACCACTAGCATCACGCCATGTCACCACGCGCATAGCACGTCCAACACGAGTTACGACTGAAGGGGCATAAACTAAATTTTGATTTCAGCCGCCTCAAGTTGCGCATGATGGCCGCAAGTTGATGAGTTATCCTATTTATCATTTGGGGAGCATAGTTTTTTAATCATTGTAATAAATTTATTTAATGATATTGACATATATTTTTTTTCCAAGCATGATTTCAATGTTAACTGGCTAGCTGGAACTTATTTTTTGGGTAAATCATTTTATTTCTAATAATTTGATTATTTTTAGTCATGCATACTTGAATGTTTGGTCCTTTAAAGTTTGATGGTTGCAGTAGGTAATCAGAGGACGAAATGAAAATAAATTAATTTCTGGTGAACTAAAAAAATAAAAAGAATTAACAAAGATTAAAATAAAATGGTTAGCTCCGTTTAAAAAGTTGGAAGTTGAAAGACGGGGGTGGGTAAGCGAATAGGGAAGAGAGAGAGAGAGAGAGAGAGAGAAGGGGATGGAAGCGGGAAAGAGGAGACAGGAAGGAAAATAAGGAAAGGCATCACCTTGGGAACACGCTTTTCCGTTTCCCTCCTCTCTTTTGAGCTGCGGCCTAATTAACGCGCCAAATGTGATTCCATTCCACCAACTCTCTCTCTCTCTCTCTCATCATCTTGTCCCGCATCTCAATTCAACAACCCTTCTTCTCTCCCTATCCCCCTCCTCCTCTTATGTCCCTTTCTGTACCCCCCAAATTGCTTCTCTCCTCCTATCCCTCCTTTTCTTTGTTTTTCCTTTTTTGCCATAAAAGAAACACTCCCCCATTGGACCTTGGTTTTTTAACACGATTTAAGTATCCAAACAATCCGCTAATCCGAAATAAAGAAGTCAGAGTATGTTATTTTAATGGATTACTTCTCCTTTTGTAACTTATAGTTTCTTTCTTATAGGAATCGAAGCCGTTTACTCTCTTGTCCAATATGTTGTTGATTTTTTTAATAATCGAATTAATTTGTATTTACTTGATTGCAAGCCCATTACCGAAGACTTATTGGATCTCATTACATGGGCTGAAGCCCAAATCATAAACACCAGCCCGATTTAATTCAGCCTTAGCTCGGCCCAAATCTCCTAGCTACTTTCACTTCATTTTTCCTACAAGACTCGTACCAACATATGTTAGAAGAAGTGAAATAAGTTTCAGCATCCTTCGCCATAAAACAAGACTTTTTGTTAAGAGAGGCAAAGCTCATTTGTATGCTCTCTATTATGCATCAAGAGACATGCTACGCAGGCTGATGGAGAAGGAATTAGCTAAGGTCTTTTTTTTTGGGTCTTTCTCTAATTATGTAAATTTTAATTTCATAAATTTCAATCTACTCAAAATTTATATGAATATCATCACTCCCCCCCCCCCTTCTAGACATGGATGTGGACACCTCCCTCAAGGAATTCAATTTATCACTGTTTTTTACTCTCAACCTCGTCTAGACTAAATCCTACATAAGCTGGCGGCAAAGGATGTGCAACTCAAAACGGCACCGTTCCTTCTAGCACCCAAGACAGAGAAGAAGAGCAAATGAAGTCGGCCATTATCCAACCATATTTGTGTCGTCCGTCGGATTTTGGTAGCCGGCCATCCCTTTATTTGGACGTCTCTAGTGAAATATAAATATACAATATTATACGAAATACAATCCATTAATTAATCGTAAGCAATAGTGTGTATATATTATTTATGTAGATAAAAAATGTACCTATGAACAGATACAGAGAATAACTCAAACTGAGTGAAATAATAACAATGACTCTATGAACTTAAATCAACACTCCGGTGCAAGATCACCCCAAACTCCATCAGTTTTGCTCCCTTCAGTTTCCCGTGGGGAACTCGCAATTCCCGAACTCTGCAACCAAAAACACAGTTTTTAAATATTTATCATATTATTCTTCTTATTTAATTCATAATACTTTTATTTATTTAATAAAACGCGACATTGTCGTTTCAGTTGTATGTAGTCTACAAGAGATACGACACTTACTAGGAGGCTGAGTCACGACGTAGGCCGTCCCGCCAAAGTCGCACGTGCCGGTGCCGCGTGACTTCCTCTGGTAATAACTGTTAAACGCGTACGAAGCATGAGCCTCCAACGAGTTCGGATTGTAACACGTGGCACCCGGTTGAATCGGACGGCAATCGGCCCCTCCTTCTCCACATGCATAATCTAGCGCCGCCTGCAATTTCTCCATCGCAGATTTGCCGTTCGCCACACACCACGTTTGGCCGCGAGACGGACTCGCTGCCGGCTCTCCCGCCGCTGGTGTCTGATTCTTGCTTACGTTAGCCGGCGCCTTGGACGCATCCGCCGCCGTGAGTGGAACTTCATATACCTTCTGCTCGCTGGGATAAAAAAGCCCGTAGTTTCTCTCCGACGTGGGTCCTGGTTTCTGGTTCTCGTTGAACAAAGCGAACAAGAATACGTTGAGTGGGTCCTTTGGCCTCAAAGGGGTCCCACTCCCAGTCGAGACCCGCTTGATCAAGTTTCCGTTATACGCCTCCGCATTGTCAGCGCCAGCTCCGACCTCGTTAGAATCTCCCTTAGAAGGCCAACCGGTCTCGGACACCACGACCTTTACGTCGTCGTATTTGAGAGCTGACATGGCGGCATAAACGGCGTCGATTTGAGCGTCGAGGAGGCTCATGTATCGCAACCCGTTACCCGAATCCACGTTCCCCGGGTTCTGCTTGAACAGTGCGTAGTCCAACGAGATTTTGTTGGAGTTTGCTTCGTAGGCGAAAAACGGGTAAGCGTTCACCATGAGGTACGATCCGGTCTGATGGAGGAAATCCAGCATGGGTTTGATTACTGGTTCGATCAGTTCCGACTTGAAGGCTCCCGATGAGGGTGGGTATGAAGATTGAAGCGCTGAAAGGGCCACCGGCGAAGAGATTTTGATGTTGAGGTTGTGTTTGGCGAGGGAAGCTTGGACGTTTTTCATGGCGGGAACTAGAAATTGGGCTGTGTTCTTGGGGTCGACGAAGACTTCATTTCCGACGGCAATGGCTTCGAACTGAGTGGCGGGGTGGTACTGGGAGATGTTTGCTTGGACCCATTTGTCGGTGAAGGACTGGTCAGCTGCGGCGGAGGAGAGTAGCTCGTTGGGGAGAGCCACGACGACTTGGATGCCGGAGTTGGCCAGAGCATTGAGGACGTCAGCGTCAGTGTCATAAAGCTTGACCCTGGTAATACCGTTGGCTTTAAGAAGCTGCACCACCTTTGACGGCGGAGGAAGGTCGTTGGCCACCCTTCCATAGTTAATTCCGATAGAACCCGCTCCTGAAAAAACAGGGTAACAAAACGATCAAGTAAATACAGAGGTAAGAAAAGGACGGACAAGTTCTGTGAGATCAAATTTTCAAAGAGAGTGGAAAGTTAACCTGAAGAAGCAGAAAAGGAGAGAAGAATGAGGAAGAATGATAGGGTGTGTGAGGCCGCCATTGCCATGCTCTGTTTCAGAGAGGAAAAACAGAGCAGTAGAGAATGGAGAAGTGGGAGCAGTTACTTTCTGATGATAATGTTAATTTTATATAGAGAAACGGCTGAATTTTTTTTTTAATTTTTATATTAAAGAAAAACCGTAACATAGACGGCGAAAGAGTGAGTTGGTACGTGGTGGTGGAACGATTATTATGGCACAACGGACCAAAGAATTTGCTGAGAACTGTTAATAATTTTTTTTTCTTCCATAACTCGAAACTTAATTTATTTTTGATCCTTCCTCGTTATATTAGGTAGCCAAATTGAGACTCTTTAACCTAATTAATTATTTTCTAATATACAATATTTAATATACATATATTTTTCTAATTAGGTTAACCGTGCAAACTAAAAGGGCTTCAGCGGCGTCTCCAATAAGGAGTCAGAAGGAATGGTAATGACCACTTTATATTTCATAATTACGGTAATTATACAATGATCATACAAATAATTGTATGTGATATATATTCTCATCGTTTCATAGATGGTATGATTTGGTGTTTGGGCTTAATAACAATGACACTCTTTTTCAATTTTTTTATAAAATACTTCTCCGGTCCTAAATATAAAACCCTTATATACATTATATAAGGGTTTTATATTTACGATCGGATTAGTATAAAATCCCTATAACTAGAGGTTAGGAATTGAAATGTATTTAACGATTTTAAAACAAGAACATCAAAATGCACGTGAAAGTGAAAAATTCAACATAGTTGAATTTTTATGGAGTTTTTCCAATGAAAAAGCGATTAGGATAGCAGTTCAATGGGTAACATTATTAAATTAATTCCAATAATTAATCTTTTGTTAGTTGAACAGTCAGTGTTAATATCACTAACATATAAAGATTCTGTTGGAACATTATATTAATTTCATTGACACCCTTGATGAAAAGGCATCAAAATTTGAGCTAATCACTTCAAGTTTCCACGGGAATAATTAACAAATAATAATCGTCGCAAAAAAAAAAAAGGAAAGAAAGAAATCTGGGACGATGCACGCCTGCATACAATATATGAATATAATAATACGGTCGACAAGAATTTAATGAATTGAAACTGTTTTATATATGTCTCCGAAGAAAGAAAAAAATGGCAAGAGGATGAGAGTTCAAGTATGATACGTCTTGTTGAGATGTGAAATGAAGAAATCATTAATATGCGAAATCTGAAATGAAATGAAAACACAGGACTTGTGCGACAAATATATGTAAATAATTAAAGGGAAGTGTATGACCAAAAAAAAAAATCAAAGGGAAGTGGGGTTAGTGATGAAGAAGATGATGAAGGTTTGACAATGAACAAGAAGATAGGAAGGTGGAGGTGGCAACTTGTGCGTACAAGTGAATGATGATCCCTTGTGGTTCTCCCTGTTTTGTGTGTATTCTCTCTGTCATCACATAAAGTGGCAATAATAATTTTCCTATTTCTTCAAGTTTCAACTACAATGCACATTGGCCCTGACTAAAGACACAAAACCCACGATGGATTATTTTTATTGGTCTATCATATACTACCTCCCGTTCTAAATATAAGAGTTAGTTGATTAATTTGATTAAATAAAAAAATAAGTTAAGTTAGTTATTTGTAATAAATAAGTATTGTCTTTTTTAAAATATCCTGACTCATTAAGTTTATTGGTTAAAACTACTATTATTAGAATGCCTATCTTGAAAAAAATAGATAGATATGAGAAATAAATTGAATTGGGGTTTTATATTTAGAACAAAAATAAAAATCAAACGAGTTATCACTCTGTTTTATTATAGGTCACTCGTACCCCAAAAGTTTGTTTCAAAATATAAGTCACTTGTAGTATAATTAATGATCTTTTTCCAATTTTACCCCTATTAATTTAATAAAAAATTAATTAATCTCTCTCTCCATCTTTCTCTCAACTTTTCATTTCCTACGTAATCCATCCCCCTTCTCTCTCTCAACTTTTAATAAGGGTAAATATGAAAAAAAAAAGGGTTAATTTAATATATTTTTTGGTTTGCAAGTTTGGGATACAAGTGACTTATAATAAGAAATAGAGTAATATTATATTAGGAATAGAAGGTGGTACTTTTTTTTTTTCAAAAGGTTCCGGATAATTTAATCATGTCTTCTTTGCTGTATTTTTGTCATTAGTGTAAAAAAACTACTTTTTTTTTTTAAACTGCAGCTAAAAAGAATGATACTCTCTCCGTTCCTTTTTATAAGATTCTTTTTTAATTTTTCTGAACATTTAATGTATTATTACTTATTTTACTCCTAATTTAATGTATTTAATACATTCTCTTTTTTCACTTACTTTACTATTACTCTCTCACATCTACCTATTTATATATAGGGGTATATTTAAAAAAAATTACATTTACTATATATTAATTGCTTTAAACTAATTTTAACTATTTTCTTAAACCGTGTAATTTAGTTAAAGAATCTTCTAATAAGAGACGAAGTACTACTTCATATAGAGAAACAGATGAAATTAATTATTTTTTTTATAACTATTTAAACTATAATGTGTCTGTACCGTGTGTGTGAAACACGGCCACAATCGCACCAAAAATTATTTAATTAATTTAACTAATTTTTTTAGCTTCTGTAACTTAATTACTAATTTTTGCCAAGGGTTAAGGTGAATCGTACTTCAACTGTGAAACGCCAAGTTGTAAGATAGATTAGTATAAAATTTCTCACATAATAAATTAACCTAGTGGCTAGCTTTTCTTTTCTTTTATAACTCTACATTCTACGGCCATAAATTGGTGTTTATAGCTGTAAATAAATAATAATTTAAAATGCTAGCTTTTCATAAGGTCAAAACAAGAATGCTCTTATACATTGAATATTTTGTTAACTAGAAAACTTAGCCGTGTAATGTCAAAACTACAGAATTGTTTAATTATTGTGAAATTTTATTGAAAAAGTTAACATCAAACACATAAATTTGCACTTGCATTTTTTAATTGCATGATAGGTATGAAATACTTTAATTTTGAAAGTCCCCTCCCTAATACATTAATTACCCAAATGTGGACTTAAGTTTTGTCCTTAGAGTTAGATTATATTTTATTAACCTTTTTTTTTTTGGCCGACAGTAGCATCGTCTTATATTATATTTTTATTATAATATGAAATTCACGTTTTATATCGATATTAAACATTTGTTATGGGTTAAAAAAAACAAGTTGTCTTTTTCAGAAATAACTAGAGATTGGCGACACCACAGACTTCTTATCCGCAAATGTTCAAGTTGATATATTATACAGATTTTTTAGGACAACGATGTATTGCATATTACTGTAGTTTTTACAGCTATATTTCATATGAAAATATGATAACATGAGCATACAAACCATGACCTTATTTGATGAAAAAAATATAATTCATATTAATTTAGTATCCGTCGACATGCAGTCCAAAAGAAGAATATCCGTCGACATAATATTTTGATCATGAATTGTCCTTAAAAGAAGAGAAAGCCAGATTGGCACACAATTAATTAAATACTCCTCCGGTCTTTATTATAAGATTCAATTTGACTTTTTATTTGGTCCTAATTATAAGACCCAATCCATTTTCTCTCTTATATTTATGCATTTTTTTCCAAGATAATCCTTCTAATAATGATAGTTTTAGCCATTACACTTAATTAGCAAGGATATTTTAGGAATGACAACACTTATTTATTATAAATAATCAACTTAACTTATTTCCTTAATCTCCTCAAATAAATCAATTGGGTCTTATAATTAGGACCGGAGGAGTACTATTTTTAGTTCTAATTATAAGATCTCGTTTATAGTTTACAAACTAGAACTTATAATTAGAACTGGGCGTAGTATTTTGGAAGACATTCACAATACCACGATTTAAAATTTAAACTTTCAAAGGGAAATATGCCTATATTTATTATATCTAGTGTTTCGATTAAGATTTCTTTCACTAAGCGGATAACTATGTGCTAGCAAAATGTGTGTGTATATATTTTGGATGAATTATTTACAGAGCCATAACACAAGATATCAACAGCCTAAAAAAAAGTATTTCAAAATATTTTTATATAACGGGGGAATTCTGAATTTATCATTATTTTAGATGAAAATTCCTCAATAATGTCAAGAAATTCGTAACACAATTTTAGAAATGAACTGTAAGCTTTTGAAAGGCCAATAATAATTTGTTGATATATATGATGATTGGGTGAAATTAATTATAGAATTTTACTATCAATATCAGGTATTATATAAATCAATAACGTTAATTAAACGTCATTTTTGCAAATATTTTTATTTTTGATGTTTACCCCACCAAAATTGGCTTAGCACCATTATGTAGGCAAACATGTGATAGGTAGTTTTCATAGAAACCAAAACATGTGACATGTAGTTTTGTATTTTGACCCATCATGTGATACATTGTGACATGTATTGATAGCCCGATGATAATGTTATAATTTTAAATTTTTTAAAAAAGTGTTTTTCTAAATATTATAAGCTTTATTATTGGCATTTTGCAATTTTTGTACACACAGAGCAGTGTTTTGCTATATATACATCCTTCTTATCGATAAAATTTTTGATGGGAGACTTTTCTCTAATTTTTTTCTGTATATTTTTGTCCACTTCATTTCATTTTCTTGCTTTATTTATTTAATTTTCCTTTGACACAATGCATTGCCACCGTCCGTACAACTTGTACGCTAATTCAAATAACCAGATAAGCATATCGAAAAAAATAAAAATAAAGAAATTGCCAATTTGCAATTATAATCAACGAATTAAAATTGATTGAGATGTGCAGAAATGGACTTGAAAGGTGCCTGTGTAGGCACGCGCACACACCCATATATATATATATATATATGCAAAGTAAACAACATTGATTTTTTCTGTAATCATTGAGGTTGATTATTATAATGAATGTGATAATATATATATATATATGTATGTGACGCAAAACATAGGCTTGATTTTACCAAGGGATATGCATAGACACGCGTGGGCGTGCTATAATTAGGTGAGGTGGCTGTTG